AAAGGGTTAACTCACCTCAAAATGAAAATATATTCACCCTCAAGTTGTTCCAAACCTTAATGCATTTTGTCTTCTGTTGAACACAACCGTTAACTTAGGATGTTTTGCATATTGTTTTTAATGTACCATATGTTGCAGAAAACCCACCCACTGTATATATTAACAAAATATTATGATCACGTTCAGACTACAGCTACATGTATATATACATATTACATACAACTATAACTTTATCCAGCCTTACCAGTGTCTCTACTGCTCTTGTTTGATCAGTCCAGATGAAGGAAAGTCCTGAAGAGGTTAACAGGAGGAAAAGGTCCATCTGGCCTGGACCTTACTGGCCTTAGTCCAGACCTAGTTTTATTACATGTCCATCTAGATGAGCGCTCCAGACCTGCTATGAGCGGTTTTTAAGATCCTCTCCAGCCAGAAGTGTTTCCAGGTCAGCCTTGTTCACCTTCACATCTTACCTCAACCCTCAAAGAAAACAAGCAGATTTCCTGTAGAGGCCTGTACTCTGAAACTCTAGATACAGTTCAAGAGCAGATGTACAGGATGAGTCACTATAGGAACAATGAAATCGTGATTAGTATAAGTATACGCACAGTGTGGATACAAAAATTAACATGTATTAGTAGCAGTGGCAGCAACTATCAAAGTTAAAATGTAACTATCAACACAGTCATAAAAACTAATAAAATATGAAGTGACATACATTTTTTTTAAATAAACAAAACTAAATTATAGAATAAAAAAATGAGTCGAATGAGTATATTCATATGGGTATTCGTTCAACTAAAGGAGCTACAGTGGAGATCCAAGTCGACATCTTTCATTTGACATCATTCTCGTCTGAAGAAAAGCATTTTTGGAAATGCACAGCATGTTTAATCCTTTATGTTCAAAGACCACACACAACATATAGCCCAGTCAGTGCAAACCTCTCATCGTAATCTTCACCAGCACATGTAACCTCTTGTTAGAAAGTAATTCTGTCATTCTGAGTTCATAATAGTCCAACAATGCCATGCCAGTTTGTTTATGTTTTAGGTTGCTGAAAAAATCATTTACTCTTTTGTTTTTTCTGGCTTCTGTTTTTTCACGCTTCATTCCCGCGTTTGTCTGCTTCAGAAAGGATTGGATGTCAAAAGCGCTTTAATGATCACGCGCACGGTATTATCAGCTCAAGAAGTTTGTTATTTTAAATATAGACATGCAGTGGGTGCACGAGAGCTCTCTGGAGCAAGTGAAACAACTCGCGCTTTTATATGGTCTTGTAAAACAAACAGGACACTGCAGATTTTCTTTGCAAAGGGTACCCAAAAAGCGGTACGGTACGGTACGGTTCGCTTTTTGGTACCTTTTTACAGTGGAAACGCCATAAAAGCATACCGACCCGTACCTTACCACTCAGTGAAAACAGGCCTTAATAGAATTTGTACTAAAAGCCACCACTCAGTGGCCAATTCTTTTATCAAAATGATCAAATCAAAAATCTTGAATAACCTTTGCTGAGGAACATGTTGTGTGGACAGATTACTGGCCAAAAGGTCGTTTAAATGATGAAAGCCAATTTCATCTGATGGGCAAAATCATGCTCTTCATCAAACGGTGGAAAGACTGAAGCCAGAGTGTGTTAATTCCTTCGTAAAAAGTGGAGACCATGTTATGATAGTTTGCAGCCAGACATTATTTGTAATTTGGCTTCTATTACAGCTACAAATAACATGGCAGAATGAATCCAAACATGGCAGCAAAATGCGTTTCCTTCCCTACATTCAACGCCAATCAGTTTTCTTGCAGGACAAAGCCTGAAAGCTTCAAAACCATGAGAAAGTTCTTGGGACACAACATTAACAACACGGTTATCACAAAAAACAGCCTTACCATCATATAAAGATATTTGTCAAACTAATTACAGGGATGGTTAATGTTATTCCAAATTAAATGTTCATTTTTCTGCTGCACACAAAAGGAGAGCCAAGTTTTTACAGGGGTTGGCAGTGCTTGTTCTTAATCTACAATGCATTGGTGATTCAGAGGTAATTTGACTTTTTGAACTTTCACTCGCTTCCCGTATTATTGGTGGACTTCCTCCCTCCTCGCATTCATTAGCCGTCTCTGTGAAGTGAAATTAGATTAAATTCAATGAGGGTAAGCAGAGTATGACTTGGTCACAAGTGTGTGCACGTGTGTGTGTGTGTGTGTGTGTGAATGACAGCTCTGTCTCGTGTGTGTGCAGTCATACATGTCTCTGTGGTTTCCTGTCAGCTGCTCTTTCTCACAGTGGCCATCAGGCCTTGACATCATGCTATAATTCTGGCTTGATGTGTATAAAAGCATGATGAACATTTCTAAAACCAGTCTATTAGCCAAAATGGACACTGTGAGAAAAAAACCCTCAGCATTAAACAACTGTATGCACTACAGCTACATGATAAAATGATTCTGCCATCTAGGAAAGCTATTAGAGGAAAAAAGCAGCAGCTGTTGTTGTTTGGCAGACTGGCAGTACATGATCAGAGCGATATTCCAGACTGCTTTCTGACAAAAGACAGTTCAGCTCCAATGTCATCCCTTTGCCATTATAATTACAAGTGTAGCTCTGGAGACCTGGAACGGAGCATTACCGGAAGGATAGCAAAGGAAAGCGACGTCCACTTTGAGCCACATTACCATAAATTAATGGAGACCTAAAGGCTCAGGATTGAAAACAAAAATATAAAATGTACCACCAATGAAGGATTAGAGAGAGAACATTTATAGTACACTGCATTTAGATGGATTTTTTTGTTGTCGTTTGCCTGTTAAAAACAAATTTGATTATGATTATTCATGTGTGTGGCTTCAGGGCAAGGGTACGGAAACACATAGTCTTCTGAAAACAGGATGGTGCTCAGTGGGCAGGCCGGATGTGAAGGGGCGAGAGCAGGTGGCAGTCAAACCTCTATTGTTAAGGGAAAAAAATGGTGAAACTTGTCATTTAACACCTCACGGAAGCACAGAGGAGGAACAGACCACCATGATGACCGCATGAGAGGTCCACCATCTGGAGAAATGAACAGAAAGCACTAGGAATGTTAAAGGGAACGTGCACACAATAATGAAAATTTGCTGTTAATTTATTCATACTCACCTTCTTGCAGGGAAGATGTAAATAACTTATTCTTCAGAAAAACTCACCATAGGCATTGGTGAATTAAAATGCATGTCAACAGCTACCAGCATTTTAAAAAAAAAATATGCAGGCTAAACTACATTTATACATATATATTAATATGAAAATGATCAGTCAATGCAAGAAATTAAACATCATTTACAGTATAATCATGAGCAGGTTTACAGCTATCGAAATCTAATGAACAATATGTCAATCACATGTTTAGCATACAATTGGGATTTCATAATATTAAAAAAAAACGACATTTAATGTACATTTATTTACTTAATCCCAGGATTATTTACATTAAAATTTATATTTAGCTGCACCATATTGGTGTTTCGTAACATCTAGCTTTTTATGAGGTGAGTTGTTAGCCCAATGCTCAACCCCAAACCTGGAGGACAGGACATACAAGCATACACTATGGATAATTTAGCTTACCCAATTCACCTACAGCTCGTCTTTGGACTGTGGGGTGAACATGAACATGCAAACTCCACACTGTAATGCCAACCCAGCCAGGGCTCGAACCAGCGACCTTCTTGCTGTAAGGTGACAGTGCTACCCAATGAGCCACCGTGTCACCCGCAATGTACATTTACATAGTATAATTTCAAAATATTGCACATATGCCCATGTACATATAATAATTTTCAGCTATTAGAAACACTCAAGATATATCGGTAGTTTAAGAATTTGAGGTTTTACATTTAGGCTATGTGTGCTTTTGAATTGCATTATATAATCTTAATCTCTCCTCAACAACTTTTGATGTTGAAAAGTTTGAAAAAGTTACTTTTATTTACGGTTTAATAGTTTCAAGTGATACATTGTCTGCTTGATGACACAGCCCCCACTACCCTTTCTATTATTTTATTGACTTAATACTCCTAATACTCCTGACTTAATAGGCCTAGTATCTTATAAAAAATGTAATTTCAATCCAAAATGTTAGTAAAAGACACTTTGTTATACTGCAGAGTTGAATTTTCAACATAATAATACGAGAGATGTCAACCTCCCATAATGCAATTCACAACCGTAAATAAATGGAGAAAACATCATAACATATGTTATCTATGTAGGATTTCAATTTCTTAAGCACGAGGATGATAACTATTTTATTGTTAAAATGTTCAGCTTCTTACAAAGACTAATCTTTTTGTAACGCAGCGTTACCAATCTTTTTGCTTCATAAACACCTAAATCAGGGGTTCTCAATCTCGGTCCTGCAGATTTTAGCTCCAACTTCAATCAGACACACCTGTGCAAGATAATTAAGCTCTTACTAGGCGTTCTAGAAACATCTTTGCAGGTCTGTTGAGGCAAGTTGGAGCAAAAATCTGGAGGACGCAGAGTTTGAGAACCGCCGACCTAAATGAATCATTAGGAACCAAAAATACTATTGGAGTTTTTTTTAGTTTCACCAGTTAATATATCATTAACTTATAAATGTATGAATCACCAAACACCAAAAATCGTACTTAATGTTCTTCCGAAGAAAGCAAAAAGTCACTTACATCTTGTACGTCGTCAGTAAATTAGCAACACACAGTCGTTTTAGAGTGAAGATCTAGTTTATATTTTACAATGCAATGTAGTAATGAATCATATTTTTATATACTTACGATATTACATGAGGTTTTTCAGTCTTTTAGATCCCATGACCTTTTTTGATCCTCATTTGAAACCCTTTGACATTATAAAATGTATGAAAATATAAAATAAGGCGTTGACCAGTACTTCTCCGAGCAGTTCACATTGTTTACAGATGTGCTGCTGCCACCTAGTGAAGATCTGGCAGAATTACATGGCGCATAAAAACAGTGCTAACGAGTTGGGTGAGTTATTTATTGTATCACATTCGGCTTAAGAAAGGTACATGTAGTTACAATACTTCAATAATTTCATAATTACTTGGTAGGGGACTGTATTCCCAGTATTACAAAAAAATAGGATTTGTTTTTGGAACATCAAAACACTAAAATAAGTGAGTACCTTATATTACAAAACTAAAAGTTTTACAAATGCAAAATAATTGTTACAGATGATAAAGAAAACACTGTTCCATTTCTTTTTTCTCTTCCATTATACCTGTCAAAAACAAGTATACAATTAAAGACAAAGTGGTGCCAGAGGAGAAACTCGGTTAAATTAGGATCAACGCAATACAAAATAAATCAAGTCTGCAGTCAACTTTGGGGGCGAATCTCTTAATTTTGGTTCACATCATCGAGGAATAGCTTCATATACTTCCTTACAAACGTGCTCATACAAATAAGCTCGATTTACGCATGTAGAAAAAAGACATAAGCTGCGTCCCAAATGGCACACTATACACTATGCACTCATGCACTATGTACTTATGCACTTACACACTCAACAGGATAGTATATGTATGTAGTGTTGTCCCAAATGGCACACTAATGTTTTTTTACTAAGCGGAAATTCTAACCGTTTCCCTGATGACGTTTGACGGTCGCCAAATCAGTGAAATAAACAACCGAATGATCAAATAATACCTGCCGTGAGTGTTGCCGCATTCACCATCGGGAGGAGCTATAATCACTCTCGTAGGAGAATTTTGATCTCACCATCCAAAATAAATAAAGTTATTCAACATGTGGGTCCGATAGCTCCGCCCCTTCCGTACGTAAGCAAACCTGCTGTCGTTGAGTGCGTGAAGTGTCCATCATTACACACTTCATTTTATCGGCTGAATGAGTGCATCATCCGGGTAATTAAAGTGCACTTAATGTTTTTAGAGTTTTTAGTGTGAACACACTACTTACACTGTTTATACTACAAAATGGCGTAGAATAGTGCATAAGTATGCGATTTGGGACGCAGCTATACAATTTATCATCTGTACAAAAAAAAGGTCTCCCAAGACTTATCCAAATGAACATGCAAATGAAACCTAAAATATATACACACTAATAAAAGATAAACCTGAAACAACACTGATGTACAAACATAAACGGCAGACTATAAAACACAACTTTCGTATTTGAGACATGCCACTACAGAAGGGTGGGAATTGTGTCAGTATATGTATACCACAAAATGCTAAATATCAAAGTAAAATCCTGTTTTAACAAAAGCAGGCCCTTTGTGGTTTTCCTGTTGTCTATAAAGAGCAAACCGAAGTTTAATTGGCTGTTAACTCGTAGTTTGGGCCTCTATGATCAAAGCAAACAGACTAGAATGGGTGTTAATGAGTTTTGGTGTATAAATAAAGCATTCAGGGGCAGCGAGTCTCGTCATACACGTTTCATTCATTTATGTGGGCAGCCTTCATGTGCTATACTTCAAACTGTCATACAATGGGCTATTCAAAATGGACTAAGAAGATCTCATTAGACATCACAGGGATAGTGTTACTGACAACGGGTGAAGTCTCATGATTAAACATAACATTTTTTTTCATTTGGAAACACTGTGTATACTGTAGAAAAAAAGAGGGAGATCTGTTTTTCCAAAAAGAAAAAAGGACTGAATACATTTGTGTATGAGTGTCCGTGTTTCCTTCTCAGTACTTCGGTACTTTGGTGTAATCCTCTTGGTGTACACTCTTGCAAAGGCCCATAGAAAGTATCATTCCAAGCAGCTGTAGGAACAATAATTAAAAAATCATTACAAAGAGATCAAAATGGACATGTTAAGTTTGGCATGACTTATGACTTATTCGCATGTTCCATGTTTGGTGTGAACACAGCATAATACTCACTACTCTTGGGTACTTTTTACTCATACTTTGAGTAATTTTTACAACAGATACTTTTACTTTACTTGCACTACATTTTTGGGCAAGTAATAATACTTTAACTTGAGTATGAGTTTTCAGTACTCTTTCCACCACCACTTATCACCAGGGCTAATTTCCTGAGAACAACCTTTTGCTAGCATTATTATTAGATTCACACCAGACTAGGAACTCTAAAATGACGCAAATCGACTTGATGATGTGCTGTTTTACAAAACCAACAACTGGACAGAGGTCACCAAGATTGAATCTGTGTCTTCATTGTGTGTTTTATAATAATAAAGATAATAAGAGGTATACATTATGCACCAGAAACTACATAAAGCACATATTTACATCACTGTAGTTCCTAATGTGGTGGATTAGACCCTGCTCTGAAGTAAGAGCTAATTTAATTCCCCAAATGTAGATAACGAGATAAATTAATTCCTGTGGTGTGAATGCATCAAAAACTTATGCTTATTTATTATATACTTCTGCCCCTTAAGTGTAAGTAAAGCATTATAGGATCCCTATAAAAAAGGCTTCGATGATAAAGACCCCGAAATTCTGTACTAGTACACATAAGGCAGAGGAGATAGAACATACCTCAATGACAGCCACCCCAAGACAGATTCCCAAAATAATTCCATAATTTGTGAAGAGCCAGCTCCCCACATGCTCCAGACAGCCCTGAAGAAGAATTAAAAATACATTTCTGTAAGAGCATTCAACTAAACTAGAACTGTTACCAAACATTTTACGTTAAGCATAACATATATAAATAATAAAAATGATATCTAAGAAAGTGTTTGTTTTTTTCTATAACTGGTTCATGTAGATGTGTAATAAAGTTGCCCTCAGCAATGTATTTAAAAGTGCATCTGCTATATAATATAAGTCTTTTATATAAAACAGAAAATCACGTGATTATTTTAATGTGTGGTTTTTTCTGTAAGGGCTCTCTATTACACACCAATATGTGTTTCCAAACCACTATGACTGACTTTCTTCTGTGGAACACACATTGAAATATTTAGAAAAATGTCGGTAAGCATAAAGTTTCATTACTTATTGTCTTCTATTAAGGTTTCTGCGGGTTTCATCAAATCAAATTTAAAAATTTTTAAAGACATTTTTAAGACTATGAAGAATGAAATTTCAGACTTCTATAGGGCTAAGTGCTAACGGTGTTTTTAATGACACAGCTGAAAAAAATTAGTCATTAGTCATTTCTTAAGCAGGTCGCACACCAGAAGCGCCGCTTGGCAGCGCGCCACGCAGCGCCATGTATTTTAGAATTCTAAAAATAGGTTTCTATCAGGATACACACACCGGCGCCGCAAGTCGGCGGCACCCGGCGACGGCTCAGGACGCAGTTCATTTTTCAGCTGCGCCACAGAGCGCCATCTGATTAGTTTCATGTTAAATATCATTCGAATGTGCGCGTCTGGTGTACGCGCCGTGTCGCGGCGCCGAGTGGCGCTTCTGATGTGCGACCTGCTTTGGTCATTAGTAATGGGCTCTATGCACAGCTAGAGTTTTAAAGCCAACAATAAACTTCCAGTGAAAGCTTATTGTGACCATTTCCAATTTAATAAGGCTGTTTTTACAGCATCGATGATGTATTGTAATTGCAATACATTCAGTTAAATAGACTTCAGCATTTATGTAGTTGTTCAACCATTAAACGAGATGAAAGACCATTGTAACTGCCAGCGCCGTCAGTAGCAGCAGAAAAATACTGGGGTAAAATAAAATGTCATATTTTAAAGACATAGTGGGGGAAAATGGAATGCAATGCAGTGCTTCTTGTCCAATCTGAGACCCACTTCATATCGTTTATCTAACAGGCAGTGCAGATCGCTGATTTTTTAAAGAAATCAGATCTTAAACATTACATTTTTGTAATGGTAAGACAATTCACCAGAAGCCTTTAGGCTGTCTGGCTAAAAATATAAAGTCTGTGTGAATATAGCACATTACTCATTTCTTAAATGATGTGTCAAAACAAGCAGACCTTTAAGTGAATTTAAGACTTTTTAAGACCCCACGGATACCCTTGTCCATTAGATTTTCTGACCATATAATGGAAGTCAATGGGAAATGGTTTTCACCATTCTTCAAATTATTTTTATTTCTGTGTTTAAGAAGTTAGCTGTTTACACAAAGCACTTTTATTCCACTGTGCTACTTTTAGATTATTTTTAATGTAGAGCTAGACCGAAATGTTTGACCACTGTGATCGCATTTAAAATCTTTTGCATGACATGCAATCTAAATGGGGCGCACAAGTCAACAGAAGGGTAACTTTTTTAAGTTGGAGAACTTTTTCTTTAGCTTCTAAACAAATGCTTTAAAATGAACTATCCCTCCATCAACAGAGAATTACAGAAAACACTTACAGTAGCATGCAAAAATGACCACCATTAGCATTAATTTCCATACCGTCTGATAGATGGGCCAATCACTAGAAGAGGCCTGACAGAAGCCGTTATCAGGTACAATTGGTGCTTGGATGGAGTAATTGTGGCAGGAGCATGGGTACAGCGGCACTGTATTGTTCTTTATTATATGGTTCTCGTCCCAGTCCATGCGTCCATTCCAGCCACAACACTGCATCTGAGATACATCAGAAACAAAACAACAGGGCGTTTCATTAGGCATTCTATAATGCTGAGTGTAAGCCACAATTGCTCAATGCACATCTGCATCATATTTCTTATGAAATGTTTGCAATATTCAGCCTACGGCATTTTTCTGACGAAAAATAAATGACATTTGATTAACTGAAAAGAAGTTTTAAATACAAGCAAATGAACAGTCAACAGTCAGTTGTAAAGCAATCTAACAAGCATTTCTACATTCCAGAGATAAGCCGCCCACAGTAACGGTGTGTTTTTCCACTGCAATATATTCAAATGAGCTATAATACACACTTTAAACCTGAATTTAAAACAACATGGGCAAAGAGTTCTGCCCATTCTCAACTCACTGTTCTCTGCAGGTAGTCCCAGGCCTGCTCTGCGGTTTTGTTCTGTCCAGGGTAGTTTGCCACAACTTGAGACACAATTTTATCCGCCTCAGTCTTCAACTGCAACGAAAGCATTAAAAATGGTTTCATTTTCGAGCTCCAGGTATTTGGCCCTACATTCACTTTGCTAAGTTAATCAGCTACTAAAATAAGACACACTTGCTTTAGACAAATCTTTATTTACATGAGACAAACTTTAGCTAGGCTCATCTAACCTGTTTGTGTCCAAACTGTTTAAGCAAATAAGCAATTAAGTGACAACGTCTATCATCTACCTGCTCCAAATACTCTATGATTTACTGCATATCCTGCTCAGATGCTTCCTATAGTGTGGTCAGGGACAGGGACTGCAGTTTGACCTAGATGGAGAGTGCAGAAATGTTGGCGTGTACTTCTTTTCCTGTGTCGAACATGTCATTTGATTCTTTCTTTTTATTCTTTTTTTGGGTGAAAGTCTGTTCAACAACAGTGTTCCTCAAAAGAGTGTATTTTTAGGTGTGTGCAATAGGGGGCGGTGTATATATATTTTTTTCTACACCGATTCTCCTGACCTCTTTTCTGGCTGTTCCAGAAATCTAAACAAGCCTTCACAATGAAATCTTGCTGGCAGAAGGAGCACATGGAGATCTGACCTCAACTATTCTGTGTTCCGCTGAACATGCAAGTCGTAAGTCCTTCACTCAGAAATGTTTTAATGGCGCACCTTAAATGGAGAGTTCAGTCAAATATGAAAATTCTACCATCATTTAATCACCCTTTATTTGTTCAAAACAGTTTCCTCCTTCTGTTAAATACAAAAGTTGTTCTTTTAAAGAGTGCTAATGGCTGGAACCCATTGACTTCCCTAGTATTTTTCCATGGGTCCAGCCAGCATTGTAAATATCTACTTTTGTATTCAACAGAAAACAGAAACTCATAAAGGATTAAAATCATAAGAAGAAGAGTAAATGATGAGGTCATTTTCAATTTTGGGTGAAGTACCCCATTAAGAAATACCCCCATTAAGGTTGTGAATGAGAATACCTTTATCTCATTCACAACCTGTATGGCTTTTTTGTTCTGTGACATGCAAAAGAAGATATGTGACCTCTGCTGGAATGCACAATGGCTAATTTACAGGCTAAAGGCAAAACAAGTAATATATCATTCATAAAAAAAATATATATATATATATATTTTAACTCTTTATTTCCATTGCAAAAACCTTCATGCATACAGTTCGGCCTAAATCCTTACAGAAAAAAGATGGACCATATATCTGTAGGAAGTTCTCTAGGAAGTATTCTATCACAGTGAATTTAGCTTACTACAAAACGGAACTCAAAACCCTATACTGTACCTCCCACCCAGGGGGGATTTAATGATTCTGTGGGCCCTAAGCAATTCCAGCCATAGGGCCCAAGTCCTGAAATGCACCTTTCTACCTTCATTTTTATTTATATTGTTGTTTGTTATATCACAATCTTTTCTTCATTTTAAATGATTATTATTTTTTATTGTAAAATGAGTTTACAACCATTTAAAATATATTATAAATACTATATTTAACATTTTTTATATATAAACTTGACTGCTGGACTGTTCCATGATGGATATTTTATTCTGTAATATTATTATTACATAACATTGCATTAATATAATAATATTATATTTGACTGTATACTAAATTATTTTTAAATACATTAAAATTGTATTTATTTAACTCTCACCATACAGAATATGGAATATAGAATATAGAAAACAAATGTTATGTATAGTTTATAGGTAAAATCTATACTTGTAGATATTTATTGGGGGCCCCCAGATGTTCTAGGGCCCCAAGCAGCTGCTTACCTCGCTTTATTCCTATTTATGTAAAGCACTTTGAATTGCCACTGTGTATGAAATATGCTATATAAATAAACTTGCCTTGCCTTATAGGTTAAATCCACCCCTGCTCCCACCCCACCCATCTAACCTTGACCAAAATATTTGTTGAAGGTTCATAAAAAATAAAATAAGGCATACATGAATAAAATTCACAATCATAATATGGAACTGGATGGGACAAAAATTTGTGAAGCAAGGTATACATAGACAATGAAACCAAAAGAGACATTATAAGATAATTATAAAATAAGTAATGAAATAAAATTAATTAATTAATTAACATACAATAGTCTTGTAAAATTCTATCAGTTGGACAAAATGGAACAATTTGTCACTTAGTGTGAATTTCAGTTCTTCAAAGTGCAACATATTTCCAATTTCTCTAGCCCATATTTGAAAGGTGAGGACGGCGTCAGATTTTCACATTAGTAAAATGATTTTTTTTGCAATACACCTGCAAAGTAGAATTACTTGTGTTTGTTTTCTACAGCAAGAACTGTCCTCTGCTCCTAAAAGTCCAATACTAGGATCAGGTTTCAGATTCATTGAATACACTTCAGAAAGAAATTTAAATATATTTTTCCGGAATGGTTGTAGTTTACTGCATGGCCACGAAGAATGAAACAGAGTTCCTGATGACACTTATTACAACATGAAGAGATTGTTGGGAATATTTTATGAAGTTTTTTATTTAAAAAAAAATGTTTATTAGGTCTGTTTTTAGTGATCCCAATTAAACATAGGACCAGGACAGAACACAGTATCAACAGTCCTGGAGCAATTCACACAAAGTAATTTTGCAAAAGATCTGTCTGTCTCTGCTAATTTGAGTTAATCATCATATAATATATTATTATATTTATTTCCTTTGGTTTTACAAAATACTTACTGCTGCTAATATTATTCTACTGTTGTTTTGCATTCAACTAATTTAGATTGACTTCAAAACACAACATTTTGCTTAAGAAGTTATCAGCATTTTTCTCACTGAATTCATGAATATTAAGTGTTTGAGATCATATTTCATGTTTTTATCTTGCACATGAGATTATTTTTCATTTATAGCATTGAATACTTATGTATATGTATTATGTATATGTGTTATGTATATGTAATATGTACTGTGCACTACTTGGAATATAACTCTTTAAACTAGATGTTTGTGCAAGATTGTTTAATATAAATAGTGTTGTTTGACATGTTGTAGTTCTGGTTTTTAGTAAAACATTATCTTGCATGTTAAATGATTTTTTAATCAATCAATCAAATAAATAATTTTTATATTATATTGGCCAATTATAGAAAATTGTAACTTCCTGAAGTTGAGTAAATCATGACTTTCCGTTCTTGAGTGAACATCCCCATTATTACAGTCACATTCACTCACCAAATCACGCTGGAAGTAGATGAGAATGGACACAGCCACTTGAGCCAGGAGAATGAGCAATAGACAGGTAAAGTACTGTAGAAAAAGACAAGAAAAAATATCACAGACCCATATAAACACCCATCACATGTGCCAGATTTCCATGTGCACTGCACTGCTATGTCTCAACATATGTGCAACAAAAACGCAACAGCTGCTTCAGTCCTGTCTGCTCAGATCATGTGAAACGAAAGCGCTCAGCACAGCAAATTTTTACATGACAGCAGAAGCTCTTTGAGTTTGCATGAGAAAAAAAGTGATTTACACAAAAACAAACAGCCAGTCAATTATATGGTGCTGAGCATTTTTGTGTCTTACCAATCCAAGCAAGCAGCGGATTTCATAGATGGCTCCCAGACATCCCAGAAACCCCAGAAGCATGGAGAAGGAGCCCACGCCAATCAGAATATAAGAGACCACCTTCAGGATCACGGATGACTCCTCTGTTAAAGAGAAATACAAAAATAAAAAATAATAAACTTTTAATTTACTCCCTATTTATTCACCCTCATGTAGTTCCAAACAATAATTGGAGTTTCTTTCATCTATTAAATAATAAAGATATTTCAAAGAAAGCTAAAAACCTGTATCCACTGACTTCCACATTGGGAAAAACAAATACTATAGAAGTCAATAGATACAGGTTTCATTTTTCAAAATATCTTCATTGTGCATACAGAAAAATGGAAATCTTAAACAGTTGAAACTATGAATGTCCAAATCCGAATACATGATCGGAAAACAGGCCGGATCACGCGGTTTCAGACTCGATCGGGGTGGATGCCCTTCCAGCTGCAACCCATCACTGGGAAACATCCACACAAACTCATGTACACACATACACAACGGGCTATTTAGCATACCCAATTTACCTGTACAGCATGTCTTTAGACTTGTGGGGAAAACCGGAGCACCCAGAGGAAACTCGTGCAAACAGGGGGAACATGCAAACTCCAGACAGAAATGCCAACTGGCCCAGCAGAGGCTCGAACCAGCGAACTTTTTGCTGTGAAGTGATTGTACTACCCACTGCACCAACGTGACACCCACTTAAAGGGATAGTTCACCCAAAAATGAGGGTTCTGTAATCATTTACTCCCTGTCCACTTGTTTCAAACTTGCTTGAGTCTTTTTCTTCTGTTTAACACAAAAGAAGATCTTTGGAAGAATGATGGAACCCTTTAACTACTGACTTTCATAGTATATATTTTACTCCTCTAGATGCAAATGGTTACAGGTTTTTAACGATTCCAAATTATCCTTGTGTTCAACAGAAAAAAAGAAACTCATAAAGGTTTGGAACAACTCGAGGGTTGGTAAATGGTGAATAAAACTATCCCATTAAGCTCTACCTAATCAAATGCACAATAGCCAGTCTCAAATGCAGCAAGTCGGTAAATACATTCTCGGGTCGCCCTCATGAATATGCACTGTGTAATGTTGGGATAACCCTTACGTTCTTGACTGAGTCATGATGATGGTTTACAGTACCGGGCGATGCTGACTGTACGCTGTTGTGGCTTTACCTCAGAAACTGCTCCTGCTTCTGTCAGGCTTTTTCCATGTGTGCTCTCATAGTGCTCTCTGTCATGTCATCCAGCCTCAAAAAGACACAACGGCTCCCCAGCAAAAACAACAATACCACAGACAGCCTCGCAAACAATAGTGCAGTGTGACCACAGAGGATACAATGGGCCATCATGTGACCTGATGTAATCATCATTACCAAACCAAAGCACTTAAATGAGATGACCATCTCAAGCCTGATGATTACAGCATGCGTCAAAGCACAAATAACAGAATGAGTTCATCCTTTCACACGCTTGAGAAGACACGGCCTACGGTTTACATAATTTAGGCTATTTAGTAATTAATCATTAAGCAACTGGATACTGAGAAAACAATGTGAAACTGAGAACTAGCAAACATTTAATCACAAACATATCTTAAAGGGACAGTTCACCCAAAAATTGGAATTCTGTTCATTTTTTAACCTCCACTAGTTTCAAACTTGTATGAGTTTCTTTATACTGAAGAAAATAAAAGAAGATATTTTAAAGAATGCTGGTAACCAAACCATTGTTGGACCCTATTGAATTTTATATTTGAATACTGTTTTCTACTATGGAAGTCAATGGAGACAATCAAATTTTTTTTTATAAACATTCTTCAAAATAGCTTCTTTTAGTTTCAAAAAGTAAAAAAAAAACATACAACTGTGAAACAAGTAAATGATAAGTAAGTTTTCAGTTTTTTGGGTGAACTAACCCTTTACAGAAAATGTGGAGTGAGTTAACTTGCTGTAATTTTTGTTCAAGGCAAAAGAAATTCTCACAAGGTTAACAGCGGTTGGTTGTTCTGAAATGTTTGACTTCAGCAAAAAAAAGGAATGAGTGAGTTTTTCAGTTGGAAATAGTGAGACAAGGCTCTTTTGTGTCATGTGGTAAATATTATCAAAATTCTCTGTCTCCATAACAATCCCACAAACAATGGCAGAATAAAGAACTTTTTCCTTAACAAAGCAAATGCCTTTTTAAGTTCAACCGCTGCGCTCAGCAGAAGCACATTTCAAAGCATTTGGCGCAGGAAACCGGTTGCGATGTTTCAATTATTCTGCCCAAACCCTAAGAATGGGCAGTGACATTGCTAATAAAAACATAAAACATATGTATCTGTGCTTTAGCTCCAATTGTGTGGGCCGCTCTAAATCTTAACCCACCCCATGCCTGTTGAAGTGCCTAGCGGTGTCAAACGGAAACAGGAAAATCCTCTAGGGATCAGTGAACCAGTGAAGGCCACTGGCATCTGGATTAGAAAAACAATGATGTTCAGAAAACCTTTTTTACGACGAGGGGGAAAAAGGGGCTCACTGTTTGTATGCATGGTTGGGAGTCCCAACAAATAGCCAGCGGCTGCTGTGCACTGTAGGAATGTGTCTGTCAGATGAGTTATGATGTGCAAAGGAGGAATACGAGAGGCTGACAGATTGACTGCTGTTGGTATCATGCTTTGGTGCGAGCCTGGCTGTTTTTAAATCAGTTTTATGCTCTGAACAATCAATCAAGCTAAGAAAAAAAAAAAAAAAACTTTTTTATGGCACAGCCACTCAGACTGGGTTCAAGTCTCAGGTCAGGGCACAGCATTTTGCAAGGCAACCTTTGAAAGTCAACTGCTAAGTTAATCTGAGAACTGTCAATGTGCTTAAAGCAGTGATCATTTACACAGTCTTCTGTTGTAGACCTAAAAATAAGCTCAGTCCTTGTTTTGTCATGTCAGACACATAACCTTTTGGCAAAATCTGCTATGCAATAAAATGGAATCTAAATTCATTCATTCATTCATTTTCCTTCAGCTTAGTCCCTCATTTATCTGGGGTCGCCAAAGCGGAATGAACTGCCAACTATTCCAGCATAGGATTTATGCAGCGGATGCCCTTCCAGCCACAACCTAGTACTAGGAAACATGCCTAGTGCCCATACATTCTAATTTTAGCCAATTTAATTTATTCAATTCACCTATAGCTCATGTCTTCGGACTGTGGAGGAAACCGGAGCACCAGGAGGGAATGAACGAGAACACTGGGATAACAAGCAAACTCCACACAGAAATGCCAACTGGCCCAGCCAGGACTCAAACCAGCAACCTTCTTGCTGTGAGGAAATAGTGCTAACCACTGAGCCAATGTACCACCCCAGAATCTAAATCTAAATTTTACATATTAAACATATTTACGGTTTAGTTTCAGCTTACATTTACATTTTCATAATGTGATTTTTTTCGTCTTCACTCTAGGCCAATTTTTTTCTTGATTTGTTTTGTCAACTATTTAAATATTTTAAAAATCTATATTTTAATAAATATATTTTATTCAGCAAAGTTGCATTAAATTGATCAAGAGTGAAAGTAAAGATTTTTCTATTGTAAAAATATATTAATAAAAAAAACAATATTGAACTTCACATCACACAACTATTATAAACACTGATCATAATAAAAAATGTGTCTTTAAAATCAGCAAATTAGAGTGTTTTCAGAAGGATTATGTGATACTGACAACTGGAGCAATGATGCTGAAACTAACTTTGCAAATCACACACACTACCGGTTAAAAGTTTGGGGTTAGTAGGACTTTTAAATGTTTTAAAATAAGCTTATCCTGCTCACCAAGGCTGCTTTTATTTAATAAAAAATACAGAACAAGTCGTAAAACTGAAATGTTATTGCAATATAAAATAACTGTCTATAAATAGCTTATAATTTAATCATTTATTCCAGTAAATTAAAGATAAATTTTTTGCTTCATTACTTCAGTCTTCAGAGTCACACGATCCTTCAGAAATCACTCTAATATTAATTATTAGTATTATTAGTATTATTATTATTATTATTATGAATAATAATAATAATAATAATAATAATAGCAATAATGACTGAGTAATAATTTAATTTGAAACTACATACAATAAGCCGCCATTTAAAATCTTTATAAACGTTTAACAATTTTTTTACATTCAATAAATGTCGCCTTGTGTACATTTAATATACTTTTAAAATTTAATTATATGTAAAAAAAATTAAAGTTGAACTCTATTTACGATGCAATAAATATAGCCTTGCTGATAACAGATAAGAGACTTCCTTCAAAAACATTTACAAATCTTATCGACCCCAAACAGAGGCTCTTTCTTTTCCCTGCTAGGAAATACTTGCTCACCACTGTTAATTTGTTCTGTCCAATGACTAATGCAATGAGAGGCCTGATCTGAGCATTGACGTGATGCATGCTAATGAAGCAGCCACTAAAAGAGGCCTGTGTGGCAGCGAGGGAGCACCTGCAGACTGCCTCAGATGTGCTATGTCACACACAGGCCCTGCCTGGCTCGACTCAATAGCTGATCCGGAGCCAGCTGTGAACATGTAGCTCCAGCCTGCTCTACAGTGTCTGTAAGACCCAGACCCAGTGACCCAGAGCTCCCTGAAATGGCCCCTGGGCTGGAAAACAGATCAGAAGAGTGTGTGCATGTGTTTGTGTGCGGGGTTGGGGGTGGGTGAAGAAAAATACAGAGCTCATCCTGGACGATCTGTCCAAAAGCCTGAATCATGCTCTTTAAGACCAGAGTAACGATGATCATCAAACGCAAGTCAAACGAGAGACAGATGGATCCTGTAAAAGTGAGTCACAAGCCCAGGAGGGTTTATTCAAAGGTAAAACAGGGTAAAACTACACTAATGAGAGCTTTAAAGGCAGGACCAATGAGCTATTTACAACACTTCGTCTAAAACATAGTTGTTCTGTTACCGTTAGTGAAGTTCATTTGAATAACTGTGAAACCTGCCATCTGAACCTGGTGCATGCCATACAAGTGGATGGAAACCTGAGGGCCTACTCACACTATGCTATCCGAACCATGCCCAGGCCCTTACCCGGATCGTTTGAAAAGTGTGAGTGCTCTGAATCGGGCTGATTCAGAGCGCGGTTCACTCGGGCTTTGGCGCCGTATGCGTGTGTGTGAGTGCAAAACATGCCTGAGCTCGAAACTGAAGATGACACGTGACTTTACGGGACTGTTTCATATGGATAATATAATAATATATAGTAATAATTATTTCTACTTTTCAATAAACACAAATTGTCGTCGTTTATTAAAGATGCAAACCCCTCACTGCATGACAGCTGCACCTTCAGCAAACCTCCTAATTCCTGCAGCACAAGGACTTTATGATTGGTTATGAGCGTCAAAAGTGACTGATCTGTTCTGCAAAATATCTGACAGCGCGTCACTGCATATCAAACCACTAAATTATAAAATTGAAGAAATATCCAGAGCTGAGCGAGAGCGCTTACTGAACAGCACATCATTGATGACGTAAGCGTGCCCTGGCCCGAATGTAATGTGAGTGCGAGCCGTCGGGGAAGATGGGAGGGGGGTGGGGGGAGCATGCTTTGGCCCGGTTCAAGGCAACTGTACATAGTGTGAGTACGCTCTTTAGTCTGCTTCCAAATTAACGCATTAAAAATGAATGCAACACCAAACGCTTTCTAAATAAACCAAATGCAGAAAAAAAAGTCACCAAAAAAGATCCATTAAAAGGTCAACATTTAGGCATACCTGATTTTTTTAGGTCATATTATGAAGGTTTCGAGTTAAAAATTACAGTGTGAACAAACCAGGTCGAAATGTATTATTTTCCTCTTTTAGTTTAAAAGAGAAGATAGATTAGGCACACACATCAAGCAATTGAGTAAAAACATAGTTAGTTGTATAGATGTAACGATTCACCGTAAGCCAGTTGAAAATCAATTCAAACAGTTAGAAATGTTTAACGAGTGTTTTTAACAGTGGGGGCGCTGTGTTTACAGACACAAACCCACTTTACTTGCACATCAGCGGCGAGCATGAGGTGGGGCAGCAGACTAAGATGACAGCAGTGAAGCAATCCAGATGAAACACAAACGGTGCAAATACTGTAAAAAGACGTTTACCTACACTAACAGAACAATGAATATGATGCACAAAAACCATTAGCACAATGAAAAACTACTGTCACAGATGTCTATACGCAAAAAAAAAAAAAAAAAAACTATTAATAAGCCAAATAAAACACGGATAAGTGTTTTCAAAGCGAAAGTGTGAAGATGGTTTTCAGACTGAAAGAGAAAGTTGTTCTGTTACAGAACCAGGTATTAGATTATTTGGAGCCTCTCCTTTTCAAACCAGTTCATGCATATTTTAATAATTTGCTTATTATTATTGAATATTTAAAATGTGCAAGATTATCTCTAGTTAAGTGCATCACACTGATACTTATACTAATACATTTTACACGTAATGTTATTTATTCACCATCATAATCATGTTCAACTTCTGTCTCCTTTCATTTTATTTTATAATTAGTTTTTATGCCAGTGGCCAGTCTCCTGGAGCAGAGGGTCTATTGACCACCTCTGTACACACTGCTTTCTGGTTAAGGAAAGGCTTTCCTTTCCACACCAGACATCTCAATCCACAGTGAAAGAGTTTTTTCATCAGCAGGGGACATTGTAGATGTGCAAAGGCCTCAGCTTATACTAGAAAACATAGATATGCTTATATTTATTAAAAAAAAAAAAGTAAAATTCCAGCACAGTCACAGTTTTAGTTTCTTCTTTATATTAATGAGTCTTTAGTTTGTACTGTTCATTTTTTTATTTATTTTTTTTAAATGGCAATTTGGTTGAGGCAGAAAACATATTACTTTGCAAAAAATGTGCAGGAGTTAAGAAAAAAATGATAGGGCTCTTTACCTTAAATTTGTTTCAAATTATTTTGTTGTTGATTAAATCATGAATCTTGAGATTAGTATTGAGAATCATATCGAATCACGAGTCAGGTGAATCAATACATCCCTAGTTAGCTGTATACTAGAGACTTGCTCCAACTGGATCAGTGAGTTGTTTACTGGAGACCATTGAATCGGTAATTCAGCGTGAAGTCACTTTGATTAGATCATTTGAATGAGTAAGTCTGTAAATCATTAAGATCCTGGAGACACATTATCAACAAATCATTTAAATCAGTCTTAACTTGGAGACTCGTTACAACTGGATCATTTAAATACACAAGTTGTTAACCAGAGACTCACTTTTATCAAAATGTTTGAATAAGCAAGCAGTTATCTGGACAATGTGAATCAGTGAGTTGATGACTCCAAAACCTATCCAATCTGATCTGTCAGATTTGCTAATTATTCATTCGGTGTGGTTTGTGAACCAATTTAACAATACATGAATGAGTAGTAGAGTACAACGTTACAGCTAGTACAAGTTTCCAAAAATAATGATTTAAAAAAAGTACTATAGTGAAAAAGGAATATTTACAGTCCACCACTGTTAATGTGACTGTTTTGTAAGTTATTAGGAGCATAACTTTCCTTCTTGTTTGACTAGATGACATTTTATGGTTTTCTTCTTGTTCACACACATTTTATCCAGACACTTACGCAACACTGCAATGAGACTCTGATTGTCTAGGAGGATCCACAGTCCAAATCCCATAATCGTGGCTCCGAAGATCTATAAGAGAGATGAGAAAGAAAAGACAAGGGGGTCAGAGGAAGAGAGAGGAGAGAAAAACGAAGGAGAGAATCAATCATGTAGCGCAGGACAGGAGGGGAACTAGGGGCCCCACATTTCACTTTACAAGCTGCAACTTGTTCGCTCCAAATCTCTTGGACAGAGCTAAAGATGGAAACTCGAGTATGAATGCGTTCCCTCAAGGTTGCGTTCGCGAGTATGTGAGGAACACACTAATCCTGGCCCGTAGGAAACCATGAAATGTTCCCTGATCTCTAGCGGTAGGGTTCCAAACTAGTTCTCTTATTCCTCTCGGCTCACATCTGGGACTGATTGGGCTGCGCTTCTGCGTGGCAGTGGCAGGAGGGGAGGAAGGGGGAACTCAGCGGATGTTGCATGAGTTCAAGAACACCACAGATTTTGCTAAGCCTTCTCAGGCAAACACTCCATCTCCATCTCTCTTTTCTAACAACAGAGTACATGGGGTGGGATATTTAGTGTACATGCTAGAGCATTATAAGCAGTGGGGGAAAGAGTACCTAAGTATCACGACTTGTCAAAAATATATAGTGCAAGCAAGTATCTGTTCTAAATGCAACTCAAAGTATGAAGCTGCATCCCAAACGGCACACTATGCACTATGTACTTATGCACTTACACACTCAACAGAATAGTATGTGTATGTAGTGTTATCCCAAATAAAACAAACTTTTTTCTAAGAGGAAATTCAAACCATTTCCTAGATGATGTTTGACTGTTGCCAAATCAGTGAAATAAATGACCAAATCACCAAATAATAGCTGCCAGGAGTATAACCACATTTACCATCGGAAGGCGCTATAATCACTCTTGTAGGAGATTTTTGGTTTCACAATCCAAAATAAATAAAGCTATCCATGTGCACCCGATAGCTCTGCCCCTTCCATTACGTGAGCAAAGCAGTGGCCGCTGAGTGCGTTAAGTGTGCATCATTACACACTTCATTTAACAGGTTGAATAAGTGCATCATCCGGGTAATTAAAGTGTACTTATTATTTTTTAGAGTTTTCAGTGTGAACACACTACTTACACTGTTTATACAACAAAATGGTGTAGATTACAGCACAAGTATGCGATTTGGGGCACACCTTGAGTAAAAGTTTATTCCACCTTACACCCTCAAATTAAAGAGTCTTTCAAAGTTAACTTATTTGCTTTTCATGGGGTATAAATTTAAAATGAGAGCTTAATTTAATGTGAAAAAACATTACATTAATATATGCACCTATAATAAGCTGAATAAGTAGGTTGACATGTTTACATCTGGAGCAAAACATAGGTTATGTACTTTGAACAAGCTACCAGTGTACAGAAGTTGGTGTCATGAACAAAACTTGCGGTATTGATGTAATACATGGAATTTGTGCATGTGTTTAAAAACGTAACATTCTGTAGTGCATTTATTTGTTGTTTAGGGCCATTTTGTGATTTTACTCATGAAGTAGGCATCGTTCATCTTTTCATCGGAGACACTAAAAGTGTAAACAGTCTCTCGGTCTATGCAAGTAATAATTTAGCATCTTCTTAAACACTTTAAATGATTCCACATTGTACATATTTGCTGTATTTTTAAAGCATCTATGTCTTGAGGTTGGTCTGTTTAATGCTACTTTTATATCCGTAAAATAAAAATACACATTTTTTTTCTACTTAGTAGAGGTCTTCAGAAAAAGTACTTCGGTACAGTAATTTGAGTATTTGTAACTCATTACTTTACATAACTTAATCCTTTAGTTATTTTGGAGAAACTTCACAAATAGGGTGCATCGAAAGAAAATTTTTGGATTTAAATTAATACAATGTGTTTAAACACAGTCTTTCATTAAGTTTCATGTAATTTCAGGTGTTTCATTTTTAATGTATCGATCTTTAACTGCAGTCTGGCACTTTCAGAAACATTTCATGCATGCCTCCAATGACAAACGAGATGTTTATATGCGAGTATGAACTGCTGAAAGAGTGTTGTTTTTTTAATGGAATATAATACAGCACGCCGAATGGGGAAAAAAAAACTTGCAGGTGTCTGTGGTTCTTCACTGACTCGGTAGGTGCAGAGAATAGTGTCAGACAGCCGTATTTGTATGGAATATCCTGTAGCAAAACATGGCAAAAATCCCACACGACAGTAATTGATTGCGGTGTTTACATGTCTGTACAGCACTTCAATAATTAATTACACTAAAATCCGCATACTCCACATGTCTTAATCCAGATTCTTTTTATCGATTATGTACGATATACGATTTATTGTATACCTTAATCAGATTAAATTAATCAAAAATTGCCACTTACATGGTCGAGTCTTAATCAGTGTACTGTCTTAATTGGATCAAAATCAGATTATAGGTTTACATGTAAACGTACTCAGTGCAGTTGCTGATATAGTGATCATTATCTTTATAATTCGTGGCATGTACAGACCTCAAGTCCTTCCTTTTTTAATGTTGTTGTCATACATTTGACTTCCTGTAACCACTTTCTCAAGTTCATTTTTAAACATGTATTTAAGTGCATCGCTTGTGTGACAAATGTTCAGAATTAATCATTGAGCTCTTCCTGTGCGCTTTGAGCCTGAGCACCCTGGCCTGCAGAGAATAAACTTGGATTAGAGATTTCATTTTTTCCCCGCTGCATGGAACAAACCCAAAAATGACAAGAGAGAGCAGGCTGTTTCTCTCTCTGAGTTGGAGAAGAGTAAACTGTCCAAGTAACAAATGGCAAACACTTCATCTGGACGGTAACTAGAGTGCATTCCTGTCACAGACAGATGCACGTCTGCTATGACGCACCGATAGGACAACTAATAAACATGTGGCTTCTTCATCAACTGGAAGACCTTAAACAGTACTGACTTATTTATATCAATCTGAAGATAACATCAGTTCAGTAAGTACCAGTGTTAAACTAATATTAAGGAAACTGGGACATCAGCTGCGAGTGAGCTTAGAAGCAAAATTTATAATAAGAAACAGGCTGGATAAAGGTTGTCCCACTTGGAAAACCTGCAGTACAGTAACGCTCATAGAGTTCGATGACTTCTTCAATGAAGAATCCAGCCATAAAAGCAGAATTAGCTGTGGAGCGCAGAATGTCACAGAATTTGGCACATTTGGTTAAAGCTTGAATGCATTAGAAGTAGGGCTGTACACTTAATCTAATCCTGATGTGGTCTAGTGTCGGTGAATATTAAATCAGAAAAAATACAAAAAAAAAGCCTCATTTTACAAGTCACCTACAGTTAAACTGCTGAGTTTGACCATTTTTGAATCCATTCAGTTGATCTCTGGGTATGACAGGAGAACTGTTAGTTTAGCTTATAGCATAACCAACTGAATCGGATTAGACCATTAGCATTTTGATCAAATCAAGGAACTTTGCTGCTGTACCCATGTACCCTAAAAATAGTCCCACCTTGCTTGTGCCTGCTGCAGCCCAGTACGACAGCAAAGTCCCTTGATTATTACCAAAGTCCCTTTAAAGCAAGTCATTTCACTCAGCTGCCATTTTTGAAATGCCTCTTGAGCAGTATGCTCGGGTATTCTGTTTGAGAGGGGAAACATCAATATCTCCAAAACTGCAAGCCAATATAATTTAATTTTTATATTAGGAATCAACGCTTGAATTAAATAAATACGGTCTCTTTAGTTTCATTTCTAAACATTTGAATCACACAAAATCTGCAGAAACTCACGTCTGATCTGGAGAATCTTAAGTCAATAGCGATCAATGATTGGCTCCTGTACTAGTAAGTGGGGCTTCATTCGCCATAATGAATGTTAAACTATTCCCAGTTCAAAATTATAGAGTGACATGTCTTGTGTATAGTCTTTGTTATTTTGCCAGAATGAGAGTATAGTTCCTAGCCAAATCGGCCTAGAAAATGGCAATTTTTCATTTTCAGTTAGTCTTAGTACATGATGTAACTACAGATGAGTCAAGCTTTAAAGGTTCAAGACACCCTGGAGTATTTTTTATTTTTATTTTTATTTTAACAGATTAGTGTGTGTTGAGCATCAGTTGAGACAACGTTAGCACCTGTCAGCTTTAATTGTGGGGAAAACTGGATCATTTTGAGCTTTTGTCAGCTAATTTCATCTTCCGGGTTTAAAATAACTTTTGGGGCGGGATCACAATCGGTGACGTAGCGCGAATCTGCTAGTGGAATGATGACGCATCGGTTTCTCATTATTATTCATAGTTGGTACTGTCAAGGTCGATACAGCAAAGTTGTTGATTTGCAGCAAGCATTTTTGTCAGTAGAGCTGCACAAGAATTGGAGAATGGCGGACTTTGTCTTTTCTTATCAGATGAGTCCGTCACCATTCAGACACATCACCTATATCCGTGCTGCCATGTTACCAATGGCCTAGCGCAAGATGCGTGGGCCCACCCACAAGAATCAAGGCAGGGGGAAGTGCGAAGATTACCTGCCCTGCAAGCCCATCTGCTGCGCCACTGAGTAAGAGACCTGCGGCACTGCTATCCACTGTGTCTGCATTTAGACCCAGGGATTGAGGAGGAGAGAAGTCCTCCTCATAGTGTTTATACAAACATGACTATCTTTATAATGATACAACAAATTGTGTTTATGTTTATTTGAAATTATGAATAACAAATGTAGCAGGGCATTAAATTACTGTTTATTTCTTTGCATTTTAACTGTATATTATAAAATCATGGGTTTCTCTACAGTTTGTGTCTCATTTTGTGAGCCAACTCACAACAGTTGTTCGCTCCCCTTTTTCCCCTGCTCTGCCGGCCATGCCCACTCCTCCCTCTGCTTGCAGAGCTCCACACCCATCTCGGAGCATTTGTTGAAAAATTTCTGAGGTAGACTTGAACCGAAAGAGGGGGGTTTCATGATCCTTTAAATATGAAAATTATCAAAACTCTTTTCTGAATGTTTTGAGCAAGATGCTAATTGTCTAATTCAATTCAATGATGCTAAGCTAAGCTAAAGGGGCTCCAGCCAGACCCGGAGAACGACTGAATGGATAAAAAAATGGTAAAACTCAACTGTTTAAATTAAGGAGTGGTATGTTCCTTTAAGAAAAAGGGATCTGTTTATAGATTTAACTAAGTTTGACCATTAAACAATACCTTTAAATAATTTATGAACGTTTAGTAATGTTTTACATATTAACAATCATGTGTCAGAAACTATAGAACTAGCAGGCCTATATATTCAAAAACAATCACTACTTAAACAATAAGGGAACCTTTATGGTTATGGTTTTACCTAATTCTAACATTATAAACTAAACCATATTATTTTATTTAAATCTAACATCAGTTTTAGATCTAATTCTAATCAAGGATCAATAACAAACCACAAAGCAGATTCAACTAATTCAACAAAGCAACAGTTTACTTTGTTAAAGAAATACGAAGTGATACTTACAAAGAAGATGAAGTTGAAGAGAAACAGGAAGTACTTGGTCGCAGTTATGCATCCTTTCCCCATTTTGCTGACCTGTAAAATACCAAAAACAAGTAAACAGCATTAAATGAAGGATCGGTTTATTTGATACATGACAAAGAGAAATCATAATATAACATGAATCAGTGGCATTAACAGGTTGGTTGTCAGATCATAACAGTGAATGTGAGCTTAATAACAAACAGTACCGCACTTTCATCATGCGCACAGACCAGTTTAAATATTCAATACTGGATCCACATGCTTTCAGACACGCCACGCTGTGATCGTCAGATAAATCTATAGAGATGCCCACAGATCTAAATTCCACAGGAAGGGTCAATACTCATCTGTAGACTGTGTGATGGCTGTTGCCACACTTTTTTTGACGATTGACCCACATTCCTGCTATTATTAATAGGTTAGTATTATACAAGCTTCACATGCTATTTGTGGGTCTGAGGTTTCTGCGTGTCACACTTTGGCTGGTCTGATGACCTCAGAGTGAGCCAAAGAATTGTGAGTGTTGATAAGCAGATATAGAGCAACAACACAAGGTAACCGAGGCCACAGATGGAGAAAACACTATGGACAAACACCAGAGTTCATCCAGAGGATTAGTATGGTGGAGATGAACAAAAGGACTTTCATCCCACCATTCAGAGATACTACACTAGAGATACTACATCTTAAGAACCCTGTTCAAACATGTTAAATGTTTAATAGTCATAATTAGATCACATTTGACTTGAGTGCATTAATATATCAGCAAAGAATTTAATGGGCGCATATGCACTCTTAAAATAATGGATGTGAAGAACGTTTAGCATTCCACAAAATATAATGACACAAAACATTTTTATTGTAAGTAAAAGTTTAGCAGCACAACTATTTTCAACACTGATAATAATAATAATTCATATTCAATATTCAAAAAAATATTTAATTTTAGCTTTCTTTTTAAATAATCATTCATTCATTCATTTTCCTTTAGTTTAGTCCCTTATTTATCAGGGGTCACCACAATGGAATGCTGTGCTATTCAAGCATATGTCTTACACAGCAGATGCCCTTCCCGCAGCAACCAAGTGCTGGGAAAATTAATGATCACGTGACACTAAAGACTGTAGTATTTCTGCTTAAAATTAAGAAATGTCATTCCAGGAATTAATTATATCTAGTCTAATTAAACAGTAGTATAGTATTGTATAACTTGTAAATAGACAGTGATGGGCTAACGTGTTTTAAGTAATGTGTGTTACATAATATTACTTTTCTAAAGTAACGAGTAAAGTAACATTACTTTTAAAAACAAGTAATACTATGAGTTACTTTTTTTTTAATTTCTTCATTATCTTGCTTAATTGGCTTTTAAAAATATATATATTTCAGAATAAAAATTACCTTAGGTTGAATCACACACTTAATGAGAGAGCGTGCTGTGAGGGGACAGACAGTCTGCTCACACTCATCATCATCAGGTCTCTTTTTTTTCACAGCAGATGAGTTAGTGTACTGCACTTGTAATTGAACATTTCAGGATATTAGTTTATTTCAAGTCAGAGGGGGTATCCGGTGTGTTAAAAATTAAGTAATAAAGTACTTAGCCTGCTGAAGATGCAACCGTTTAACGCTGAATCATTTCAATTTGTTGAAAGACATTGAATTGTTTACTTAGAAGATCTGGTTAAAACAAACAATTCATTCGCAAATCGCCCATCATCACTACATGCAGGCAGAAACAGAAACAACTTATCTTAGCAAAGAAGGGGATTGTTGTTAAGTGTAGATTATATGAAAGTAAAATTCTTGACAACTACAAGAAACACGACATCGAATACCTCCAGCTAAACACCAAATGGTTGACATCAATTTCACTACATTTTAAAAAAATGGTTATTGCTTTTATTGTTGAGGAGATGCAGCCTCTATCTACGGTAGAAGCGACTACTGTTTGTAATATGGTAAGATTCAATGGACAGTGAATTCATTCATTCATTTTCTTTTTGGCTTAGTCCCTTTATTATTCTAGGGTCACCACAGCGGAATGAACCACCAACTTATCCAGCATGTTTTACGCAGCCAGCTGCCAGCTGCAACCCATCACTGGGAAATATCAATACACACTCATACACTATGAACAATTTAGCCTACACAATTCACCTATAGCACATGTCTTTGAAATTGTGGGGGAAACCGGAGCACCCAGAGGAAACCCACGCCAACACGGGGAGAACATGTAAACTCCACACAGAACACCAACAGACCCAGCCAAGGCTTGAACCAGCGACCTTCTTGCTGTGAGGCGAACGTGCAACCCAAAGCGCCACCGAAGACAAACTTTATGGTGGCTTGAGAAAGCCTAGTCTGAAAGTTTTATGTAGTTTTGAAGTTTAAACTATTGAAGTAGTTTTAAACTGTTTTAATAAAATATGTTAGCATGTTTCTAGTATGATTTGGCATCTTTCTTGCTAGGCTGTTAATCAGGGGTTCTGAGTGGTTGCTAAGGTGTTGCTAAGTGGTTGCTAGAGTGTTCTGAATGGTTTCAATGGTGTTCTGAGTGGTTGCTTAGGTGTTGCTAGGCGGTTGCTATGGTGTTTTGAGTGGCTAGTATGGATTAGTATATTGTTAGCATGAATTGGTATGTTGTTAATATGTCCAATGTAAAGTCAATGGCAGTTTTTTTTACAATGGAAGTCTATGTGACAGTTGCTAGGGTGATATAAGTGGTTGCTAGGGTGTGGCAAGTAAGGTAAGGTAATCAGTGTTTACCAGCGGAATAAACCCCCAACTTATCCAACATGTTTTACGCTGCGGATGCCGTTCCAGCTGCAACCCATCAGTGGGAAACATCCATACACACTCATTCACACTATGGACAATTTAGCCTACCCAATTCACCTAAACCACATGATCGGTAGTCTGAGTTAAAAGAGCCCAACCTTAAGTCTGTATGACAGTTTGGCGCAAAGTTATGGGGTCCTAAAATATGGTCCAATGTTATGTCAATGGGACTTTTCCAAAACTTCCGGCACAGTTTTTGGAAAACCGTCTGTCAGATCAGTTGAGAAAGATTTAGCCACTTAATTCAGTATAGTTTGGAGGTTTGGAGTTAGTTTGGTGGTTGTAGTATGAACGGACTAGGAGGAGATGCTTTCTTAAAATAGTCTAAGAAGAAGATGAAGAAGAAGACGGAAGAATAATAAGTTTATGTAATATAACAGTATGTTAGCTTTCTCAAGCCACCATAAACAGTATTTATATATTACTATGTATATTAAATAGTGTTATATAAGTTTTTTGGCTGTATATCTGCTGAAATTGATGTTAACGAGACAAACATTTCCCATAAGCCAGGGAGTAATTAGACAGTGTTTTGTTTTTTCTTTTCAGAAAATGATATTAAAACTTATTAAAACTTCACAAGCAAACTTGCATAAACTTCTTTTTAATTAACTCACGAGGAACTAACCTTGTGAGAATGAAATACAATTTTAAATGCGTTTAATTTGCTAGTTTCATTTTAGTTTTGAAAAGCGAATCACTGTGCTGCTGAGCTGAGGCCAACCGGCTCAATTAAAAAACTCTTAAATATTCCCACCCTGGGAGAGACCGTAAGGTTTTTTTCAGACATTAATAAGTCCCACACGACACAAGCCTGTAGAGTCAAATTACCTGCACATCCTTCTCCTTCTGCAGAGAAAAAAATAGGACCTTTTTTTTTTACCTGAAGCTAAATCTCCAAATGTTTGCAACATGTCTTAGACGAAACAAACAAATGGGGCTGTAAAACTAATTTAGCCTTGATGTGAGCACTGTTGTTCTGATCTAGGCCAGCATTGATGCACCACTTATGAAGGTCACAACTATTATGTCTACGTAAAAGAGTGCCAACACACATGCAACTTCATCCAGACTGATAAAAAGTGTGTCACGATGCACTAAAATGTGAATCAGGCCAACACCACTCTACAGGGAGAGAGATGGGAATATATACAAGATCAGGCCCTGTTTATCAGTAACAGTAGTCTTATCTCCATTTCCCCGATGCTGAAGTAGCAAATGTATCCTTAATCACCCAGAAAGCTTGCGAAATGAGTACGCCCACTTTCTCAGTATCTTGAAAGCAATTAGAAGTGCGCTTTGACGCAGAGGAAGGCTCAAACCCCTCATCCTGAAGTTCATCAACATTCAGCTCATCCAGCCAGAAAACACTGCGGCTCCAGTTCACACCCTCCCCCACACTCACACACATACAACCGGCTTTGATTTCCCACAACCACAATGGCAGCTTTCAGCCACGCTTTTCACATGCAACAAAAGGAGAAACTCCACACACCCGGGAGCCCACTGTAGCTTTAAAAGTTAACACAAAATCCAAGACATCCTTAAAGGGGCGGCGACTTCGACCATCCAAGGTAAACTCATGACTGTTATGAAATCCATTCTTTGCCGAGCAGGAGTGCTTATGTGCAAGCTTATCTGAAGCCTAAAGTTGACAACTTAACTCTCTAAAGGATTTCCAGGCTTTGTCATTCCACAACAACTTCATTGGGATGTGTGCTTGCCAAACAGGTTGTCACAGCAACCATCAAGCAGGCTGGCATGAAGGGGTGCAGTGTCCCCTCTTAAGAGACTAAACAGTCTCGCAGCATGGAGGAAATAAAGAAAAGTGAAACCCACATGGGTCGGTGGCCTTGTCTATCAGCAGTTACTTCAGCCAAAAACAAGGCGTACATTCATTAGGATGGTTAATCTCTCCACCTGAACACAAAGACCAACTTGATGCCACCAGTCATGTTAAAATGGGCTGCGCAAGTGGCTACTAAAATGGCCTGGAGAAGTTATTAAACGCTGACTAGATTTATGATGATTGATGGCTATGGATTTAGCAACATTTTAGCAGCAGGGAGGGATGCAGGTTCTTTCTGAAACATCACCTAACAATGGAATGCAGGCAAACTGGAAGTTTGTTGTAAAAAAAGAAAGTGTTATTGTTTAGAGATAGCTTTTGCTAAACTCATATTTATGTCTGTTGGATTTGCTTCGTCTCAGATGCATGTGATAATTCAAAAACTCCAAAGGTAAAATTAAACTAGAAAAATGAGAGAACTGTTTATGTACAGCAGTCGTAAGCAGCCACAACAATTGACCATGGTTTTGCTACAAATAAAATATAAGTCTGGCTTATAACTACCCAAATAAACCAATAAATTAAATAAGCTACAAAAAATAAACCACAAATTAACTATGACTCTGCTACACTACCCAAAGTTTACTGTTTTTGGTGGTATGATAACCTTGAATAAATTGTTATTATATATTGTGATTACTACTCTAAAATAAGTTTTTTTTAATGTTTTTTTTTAAGTTAAAAAAAAACATCTTGAACACAATATATTTCATTTTAGGAAAGACTTAAAATATTTTGGAATAGTAAACATGTCAGGCTAAATAGTTAAAACAAATCATTAAATTCTGCTGTCTTTATTAGTTTAAAAAACTAAGATTTCTTTACCACACATAAATAATCATACGCATATGAACGGTATAGTAGACCAGTGAGACGGTTTTAAAACAGTGACTTTTTTGAAATCGATTATTGTCCCATGCCTAGTTTACTGTGCTATTTAAAGTGGTTGTACAAATTCAGATTAATACATTAAAAACATGGTTACTATACTTTTACTATAATAAATCATTTATTACACACAGTTAATCGCTGTGAGTTTACAAAAAATATCTTTTTTACTCTCAAGGAAAAAATTAAGACGTTTTCATTTGAGCTCAGTTTATTCACACTGCTGTCTATAGACTTAATAAATATTTGTCGTTCCCATGTAAGTTTACCGTCAGCTAATTCAAAACAATTAAAACCTCATTTGAAATCTAATACATGTATGCACTTTGCCTCCTAAAACTTTTTTATGAGTTACTGAATAAATTAATAAGGTGTAGCCTACTTGCAAGTTTTTTAATTAAATGGACGGCTATCAAATATATTTATAGCTTGTATTTTGTCATTTACTTAATGACAAATAACTTAAGCCAAGCTTAAAACCCATTTGTTTAAATTGCACTGCATAGCACTGACACTTCTTTATGTTTTTAATGCTTGTTGTATTTTATTAATATTTCTTGCATTGTTTTGCATTGTCTGCTTTTATATGCGTTGTATAATTTGTTTTACCTTAAGCAATTGGTCAACCTTGGTGTATATAAATAAAGGTTGATTTAAGTTCACTCAAACACACACACCAACTTAAATTAGGCAGACAGACTCAAACTATCAAACCTATTCACGTAATGTCCATCAAATTCATATTGGCTTCCAAACAGAAAAGTCTACTTCGCTTCACGTGCCAAATCACTTACAGTTGTAAACCGACCTGACCTACATACGACAGATCTCATATTACAGTTCATAACCAGTGCATTAAGCCATCCTCACAAAGACAGCTCCCAAAAAAAGACTATTATGATGGAAAAACACAATGTTCAGAGGAAAACTAACTTTTTCACAACTCTGAACAATAACAACTCAGGTATGCGGACTATGAACAATAACGTTACATCGTAAACGCTCTTTAATCATACCCGATACCAGCTCGTCAAGGAGGATCAAAATATCACAAACAGAAAGCGAAATCATTTGGAACTGATTGTTTAATAAAAGTAAAATAAACAAACATAAATTGCCAAAAATGGACTCAAAAGACAAAACAGCTCAAGGAGCAACAATTGTAAACTCTGTTCACTATTAAGACTACTTGAACTGGCAAACTAGGACAGAAGATCGATTATTAATGACAAGTCATAATAAAAATCTATTTTTGTGAAAGTAAAAGAAGGAAAAGAGCAACAGAAATACTAAGTTACACGATAAGCGCCACATGACTGAATGCCATTTAAACTTTACATTGCAGTCCTATTTCTTAACTTTAACTGTACCAGGGGTTAAATACATGTTCGTATCGAGTTAAATAGCATTTATTACATTAAACCTCGTGTTCTGAAATCATACTCACGTTTAGAGTCGTTTAGTATGGGAAAATGAAAAAGTACACTAGTTGTCAGCTGCGCGTCTCGTCCAGCGTTGATGAGCCAGTGTGAGTGAGTGAGCCGCGTTCAGGCTGCAGATGGAGCTTTTTATGCTGCTCACTGGCGCCCCGAGCGGCGGACTTTAGTAACCCTGAAGCAGCGCTTCTCATAAAGCAAACGGTCTCGGTGAACTCATAACACTTACAAACTGTCACTGTCTGAAACACATTACATTATTAAACATATTTAACAAAACAAAAAAATTAACCAGTCTGTGTTTACTAAAAGTCAGATGACTCAACCCTTACAAAAACCAAGCATGTTCTACTTACAACAAAATAAATCAGTTATTGTTGACCACAAGGTAATCACAAATTCACCATAGTTTAACCATGGTATTTGACCAAAAACATTTACTCAATTCATCCATATTTCTTACATTTCTCTACACTGTTCTCTGATGTGTATATGGTCACATCACTTACACTCTCAGAAATGAAGGTATGGAAGCCGTCAATGGGGTGGTATACGTTTCCAAAAGTTACAGATTTGTAGCTTAAAGGTCCATATTATTACCTCAAGGGAACATATCAGTACCTAAAAAGAACAAAAAATTTCCTCTTAAAACTTTCTAGGTACTAATATATACTTTTGTGGTACTAAAATGGACCCTTTAAGTACAAATGTGAACCTTTTGAAAAGGTACCACCCCAGTGACAGCTCGCTTACCTTTATTTGTGAGAATGTATAAACTACTTGAAAGGTTCATTTTATTTTTAAAAAATTAATTTATTGGACCTATCATTATTAACTTATCCCCAACTCTGTAAATTCGATATCTAATGCCAGTTTTAAAAAAAAACTATGGATGATTATGACAAATGTAGTCTAAAATGTAATCTAAAAGTAATCCAGAAGTAAAACATGACCTAAAATATAATGCAACTGATTACATTACTGATGTATGCAATTTGGGATAAGTAACAGACTGCAGACTTAACCATCCACTGGTGGCAGGTGGGTGTGTATTTAAAGACATCATTTAAGGAAGTCTTTAATAAACAGAACATACAAACCAATGTCTACCTTATTTGAAAGTCTCTCACTGAAAATTGTCAACTGAGAAAGCAAAAGATTCACTTTGACATTCTTGTTAAACGAGGAAGCAAATGACAGGTGGAAAGGGGAAAGTAAAAGTGAAACTCCCACAGGGAGAAATCCAGTTATTTGAGACCCCAACTAACAGATCAGTCTCTAAAAATAAGCAAGCCAACATCAGCCTTCCACAGGAAAGTGAAAGCAGAATTCAACCTGGTGTATAACACATTTGGATATTGATTTTGTTACTATAACAGCATGTATATTCAAAAGTAAAGTGAAAGCAAAGGAAGTGGCAGGGAAACCAGGGAAAGCCCACAGTCTCACAACCAAAACCTTTCAGGACAGTTACAGATGCCATGTTTGTTTAACATCTCTTAAACTTTTCAAACTGCTTCGGGGCACACATTTTACAGTCGATTAGAATAAACATGGAAAGGATTCAACAATGATTTTTCCATTTGAAAAACTTTAAAGATTTATTAAGCACATTTACTTTCTCTACAAATAGTAGATGCATACCGGTCAAAAATGAATGTATTTTATGGTAACACTTCTAAATAATGGTCCACTAGTTTAAAATACAGGCTTTATTACCATAATTTACCATTAACTAATCCAATTATTAAAATCCAAAGTATGTATGTGTGTATGTATGTATGTATGTATGTATGTATGTATGTATGTATGTATGTATATATATATATATATATATATATATATATATATATATATATATATACACACATATATATATACATATATACATACATATAGTTAATTAGCTAGTTATCAGGACTAACAATGAACAACCTTATTTTCAACAGAGATGAATAAATACTGTACTGTAAATGTATTGTTCATTGTTTGTTCATATAACTGAAACATTAGCTAACATTAATGGACCATTATTTTTAGTGTTACCCATTTTATTAAACATATAAACAATGTTCTTAGAAAAAAAAGTATTCAAACATTGACATTTCAATCATTCCCCAAAATAAAAATACAAAGAAGAACATTTACAGACATTAAAGGAGTGTGACACATTCCCGGACCATTCATATATTTACAAAGCAAATAGTGCGCTAAAATATATCGAGTCTAGTGTGTAATCATAAACTGTGCTTTGCCTTTACAAATCAAACCGTGATCCACTGTCCTCCTATAGTTGACTATGTATATCTAAACAGCTCATTTGAAAAGAGATGCACAGTATAAATAAACAAACAGCAGTTTTCACTTTGAAGCGCTGCGGTTAATATTTGATTATGAAATGGGTTAATCAGACCATCTCATAGAAGACATATGAAATTTACCATCTCTCTGCCTTTTTCCAAAAATGATCCTTTAATTTCCCTTTGGAGCAAAACCCAGTGGAAGCAGTTGCTGAGATCTGTGCAAGGACGATGTGACCGTCTGTCTCTAATGACAGTTCAATGATGGAAGCATAATATTAGAATTATATAATAGTCATTAATACTATTATTCTTCACAATTGGATTTTTGCTGATGTTGAGGGTATGAAAATAACTGCTGCGACATTCTCGATTTCGGCTACTTCATGGTGATTATACGAGGTGAAGGAAAGTTCAGCATGCTAACTTTTTAAACACTGTGGAAGAGTTTTCATTCTCTGTCATTTACAGGCATCTGCAACCTGACATTTAAACAAAGTGCTACATTTTAGAGCTACAGTTGATCTGCAATGTTCACTTCATGTCGTGATCACCAAGTATGTCTTAATATACATATACGATTCTAAAATGTACAACGGTTGTGCATAATGTTACCTCTTAAAAGCACAGCCAAAAATTCAAATTTTCTAAAGTTTGGTGTCAATGACAATAAGACGCAAAGAAATGAATTCAGACTGGGACTTTTAAGTTGCAATTAGGGCTGCACAATATATTGCTTCAGCATCAATATTACAACGTGCACATCTGCAGTAGTCACATTGCAATGTTGGGTCGGAAATATAGTTGACCAGGAGCCACAGAACACATGTGATTTGAAGAGTTTGCATGTTTTTAAAGCCTGTGACTGAGCATTTTATTAGAATTTAGAACATTTGAGCACAAAAAAAATGTGGTGTAACAAAGATTTATTTATAGAATTATCTATACAAAAGAATACCACGTTGCCAGATAATTTAACATAAAATTTTCTTAAAACAAGCCAAATTATCTGCCAACGTGGTATTTATTTTGTATATACTTATTTATGGTGTATATATATATATATATATATATATATATATATATATATATATATATATATATATATATATATATATATATGGTAATAATAATAATAATATGTGTATATATATATATATATATATATATATATATATATATATATATATGGTAATAATAATAATAATATGTGTATGTATATATATATATATATATATATATATTTTTTTTTTTTTTTTTTTTTTTTTTTTACCTGATCTTATAATTTTTATATATTTGTACTAGAAACAAGACAAAGCAAAGGAAAGACATTTCTTTGCATAGTGATTATTCCATTTTTGTACCCAATTACTGTTAGACTCACCAGTAAACCGCCAAATAGAGCTATTCAAACCATCTGTTCATATCACAATATTCATCCACATTTCATGCAATAATAAAATATCCCAATACCAGATTTTTCCAATATCGTGCAGCCCTAGTTGCAATCATAAATTTTTGGATAAAATTATGATGCAAAATTTTGGCTTGTGATGAAATGAACTTTCCCTTTAACAGTAACATTGGTTAAACCACGAGTAACATGTAAAAAAAAAATAGGTAACACTTTATTTAACAGTGTCTATTACACAGTCCATCTAATTACTACTATGTATACAATAGGAATAAATTATGCATAACTAAATGCAACTAGCTCTAAACCTCATAACTATCATAATCTTATAGTAAGTACATGTAGACAATTACTTATACTCAGCACTTGTTTCTCAACATAGATTCATTGGAAATATGTGTTCAAAGTCAGAACTATTAGCCCCCCTTAGAATTGTTTTTCTTTTTAAAATATTTCCTAAATTATGTTTAACAGAGCAAGGAAATCTTCTATTCTATTCGGCTAGAATAAAGCAGCTTTTAATTTTTTTTAAAAACACTTTAAGGTCAAAATTATTATTATCCACAACGTAGTTGATGAAAGCTTACGTTATCAAGCTGCAGGCTGCAGAGAGGACATCTTCTATGGTTCACCAGGTGATCTGTACGACAAATCCCACCTTCTCATGAATGTGTGCAAGAAAAATGTAGTATGACAAAACACACCCAAGTAACATTTTTCAGATTTAAAAAAAATGTAGACAGCACCCTCTAGTGGATCTGTCACTTGAAATGTGCAATGAAACTTACCCGGAGCAATGTACTTTTTGTTTTGCAATAATGTAGGCTGAGGCATTTATTTCCAATGACCCTGGGCTGAGATTTAGGCATCATTCATGTAATCTATTTACTCATGTAAATGTGTGTAAATACATATAATTATTTACCTTTTAAATATTTACTCGTTACATTTTTGTAAAAATAAGCAAATGTCTAGATGATCAGATGATTCGTGTACAATACTATTTGTAAAGCAATACTTTCTTTAGTCTTTAAGTGGATGGGTTACATCAGAGACTTACTGTAGCTTTGTTTACCAAACAAGCCATTCTTATTCTATTTGCATTTTAAACCTTAAAAGTGAAAGAAATTTTTATTATTACGTTTCAGCTCCTATACCATCAAAAATACACATAAATCCAAAGATTTTTGACAAACCTTGCACAGAAATAACAAAAAAATTTGGTTGGACCCATGGGTATACTCCCCTGTAACAAAGACACTGTAAAATAAAGCATAACCAAAAATAAATTTGACAACTAATTTATTCTTCTTAATGTTTTAAATCTACAATTAAAGGGGACTAGTTAATAAACAACACTATTCACTGTAGTAACTGTTAGAAAACTGTCCATTAGGTATACTGTATACTGTGGAATTTTCTTGTTTAAAAAAACACAGAGCTGACTTTGCTACAGACAGTCAAAGTTAATGAGATACTTTCTGAAATACACACATTAAATTGTATTTAATACTACATCCATTATTCCTTACCATATGACAATATGTACTGCTGGGAGTCTAAATTCCACAACAGTATATCTGCAGACCTCACTTTGGAATTTTAATTCCCACTTTATAATAAAATGAACAAAATAATCCATTTAAAATCTTAGTAATGTAAATGTAACCACTCTATTTCTCCTAAAACACATTTGAATTGTATGAAATTCCTTGGTTTACACTTTTTCTTGCATTTTTAACATATATTCTGTGCTACGCTGTGTCTACGCTTGTGCCTGACAACTAAAAATAAATAAATAAACCAATTTTTGTGTCGCGGAAAGCCACACCACATTCAGGAATTTCACAAACTCTTACATTATACAACCTGAACTGTGGGCAACTTCCCAAAACAATGTGATACATTTGGGAGACAGGATTCTCTGACATGTGCAATAAATCTACTCTCCATTCAATATGCTCTCAGAAAAGGCTTTTTACAAACAGGTCAGATAACGAAAGACACTTACGTGAACAAGGTAACTAAAACAACAGTCGTGATTCTCTGGTCCTCGTTAGCCAATGAGAGTAAACACCCAAATGCTGTACTTACATAAAAGGGAAAACTGCTCACAAACAGAGGCTGATTTTCAGTCAAGTGTAAATTCGTTTGGTCCAGGCAGTGATGCTACTGTATTCAAAGCATTCAGTGGTGCCAAGCCACACATCTAACAGACTCTGCCAAATCGGTGATCAAACTCCATCAGATCTTCTTAGGGCGTCGGCCGAGGTAATGATAGTAACTCAAGGTGATGAAGAGGAAGGAAGCTTCAATGAGAAGAAGAACAACTGCACTGTTGGACAAGATGCCCATCTCCAACAGGGTGATGGACGTCACTGAAAAAAAAACAGAACAGACTAATGAAAGAACTTCTCAATACAATACTTACTTATTGTTTTAAAACAGTATATAGTTTGATAAAACTTAAAATATTATGAGTTATGGTTAATTTCACAAGCATAGCCAGAGAAGAATTGAGTGTACTACATTTGTTGAAAACTTAATCAGTTATTATCATAGAAAACAGTGAATATTTGTCACGGATAACACACAAACATTATCATAGGTGTTTTATTTTATTTTATACTTCTATGAGTCAGATCTGGGTTGTGTTATACTTTCTCATTGTCCATTACTGACTAATGTAAAAATCCCATCAAACTATTAATACCCATTTTGTTAATTATTTATGCCAGCTATTAATTATATAAATAATTAATTAATCAGATATTTAAGAACTTTAGCTTTCAGGTTACGTTTTTATTTTTATGACTAAGTTTACAGAAGTTAAACTAAGAGTGACTATCTTTGACCCATTAAAATACTTCATATTTTCTATTATTACTCTAATAAATTAGGTCTAGCCCACTTAAAAACAAATGTGTCAAAATGATACACAAAATTTACACTCACCGGCCACTTTATTAGGTACAACCAGTCCAACTGCTTGTTAACGCAAATTTTTAATCGGCCAATCTCATGACAGCATCTCAATGCATTTATGCATGTAGATATGGCCACAATGATCTGCTGCAGTTTAAACAGAGCATCAGAATGGGGTAAGGAAGGTGATTTAAGCGAGTTTGAAAGTGACATGGTTGTTGGTGTCAGACGGGCTGGTGAGTATTTCAGAAACTGTTGATCTACTGGGATTTTCACGCACAACCATCTCTAGGGTTTACAGAGAATGGACTGAAAAAGTGAAAATATCCAGTGAGCGGCAGTTCTGTGGGCACAAATGCCTTGTGCGTGTCTTATGTGTGTTTTTGAAACTAATGAAGACAGCAGAAGTCAATGAATTATTTAGTCTGACATGTTTACTGCTTCAAAATATTTTAAATGTTTCTCAAAATAAAATATATTGTGTTCAAAGGGGGGGAAAGGTGTTGTTTTTTACCCAGATAAGTAAAATATAATGTATTTTAGAGCAGTAATACTGTGAAACCATGATATTTTTATCCAAAGTAATCATACCATCAGAATCTTATACCATCCCATGCCTACATGACTATGAGTTCACTGTACTCAAATGGCCTCCGGTCAACAGATCTCAATCCAATAAATGTAGTGTAACGGGAGATTTGCATCATGGATGTGCAGCTGACAAATCTGCAGCAACTGCGGGATGCTATCATGTCAATATGGACCAACATCTCTGAGAATTATTTCCAGTACCTTGTTGAATCTATGCCATGAAGGATTAAAGCAGTTCTCAAGGCAAAAGAAAGTCTAACCCTGTACTAGTAAGGTAAAGTGGCCAGTGAGTGTATTTAAACTGTGTTAGTACAAAAGATATACTGCCCTCTTATGGAAATCCATGCAATAGCACCGGCAAGGCAGTAATGCTACTGTATGCCCTTAAAAATATAATGGAAATACTAATTGTGAAAAAATGTAATAAAAAAATCCTAAACCAATCCAAAATATCATATATGAATCTAAAGACTTATTAAAATTAATAAACCATATAAAAATAGAAAGCAAAAATAAATTAACCACATATTCCAGAAACACCACTAAAATACATTCATTTTTTGGCCTTTATTACTTCTATGGCAGCAACCATAATAGCAGTCTTAAAATAAGAAAATTATTCCCCTTTAACTGTTTATGTGATGAGTTTATTGGATTCATCTTCTAATACTTGGGTTACTTTTAATTTTTCTGGTTGCCATAAGAGGGCAGTACAGCTCTTCATTATGCACGGTGAGGATGGCCAAATGATCAATTTAAATAAATGCAAACAAAATTTAAAAGAGAAAAAAATGGTTTCCCAAATATACAAGCATACATAAAAATAAAATATAAAATATTTATATATTTATCAAATAAAATACAAAATTTTATGAAAAATGATCTGTTTAGCAAAGTAGATCACACTGAAATGTCCCAAATCAATTCCCCCTAGTTTAAACATCCCTTAATTAAGGGCAAAATAAAGACTGAAATAAAGAATGTCTCATGTCCTTCAGCACAAAACCCCTCTCTCACCTAGAAACTGTACCCCGAAGTAACATGCTTCTGTTAGCAGCGTCCACTGAATGATGACCTTTTCCGCCGTGTACAAGCCATTCCACAGGATTAATGAGATGCCTGTTGGGAAGAGGAAACAAGACAAGTCAATTCAGAGTTCATTCCAAGTCAGGTACAGACATTAAAGAAGCCTCATCCATTAAATATAAAGCAGAATCTCCTCAACAACAACAAATATATATTAAAAAAACACGAGCACTCAAGCTGAAAAAGCTCAAAATCTGGCCTGAGATCAGAGAGCTGACGGTTCTGATTCAGTTCAGGGAGAAAGGGAAAAAAAAAGGGTTGAGAGTCTTTCTGATCTCCTCCCACACTGCGGATACGGATAACATTGATAGTAGCTGTTTCTTCAACCCTGCCAAGTGCCATCTGCCAGCACTCTTTTTTCCGGCTTGCTTGAGTAATTCCCAACATCGAACTGGCCATTGATCTGACAGAAGAGCACTCACACCTTGCAGCGCCGCAGGGGTATGAATTGTTTGTGAGCTTAAGCAGGTGTCATACTGTATAAAGACGACTGGAGCTTGGTCAGGGGTCTAGATTGAAAAATTGAGCCCATGCCTTGCTTACACATAGCATTAAGATGAGTTTTTGTTGATACGATCACAAGTGGACAGTGCTAAATACAAATGTAAATGGAGTCTGAAATATTTCAAGCTTGCCCACTTGCGAGCACTTCCAGTGGTAGTCCTAAATGTGTTAAAATGGACTAAAAAGTGTATTATATTAATATTTTATTGCTTCATCCTCATTTCTTTTCAGAAATCTACTTTACAGTAGATACAAAAACTATTATAAACCTACAGAAACATTAAAACTGAAGCAATATTTAAGCAAATAAAATTCTTAGTTAACAGCTTTCCATTTTATTGGCAAGGGTAATGTGGGGAAAAATGTATAAAACCCAATAGTTAGCTTTGTCTAAAAATTAGATATAGTCACCGGCCACTTTATTAGGTACACCTCACTAGTACAGGGTTGTGCCCCTTTTTTGCCTTCAGAACTGCCTCAATCCTTTGTTACATAGATTTAACCAGGTGCTGAAAGTATTTCTCAGAGATTTTAGTCCATATTGACATCATAGTATTACGCATTTGCTCCAGATTTGTCAGCTGCACATCCATGATGGGAATCTCCCGTTCCATCACAACCAAAAGGTGCGTTGCTGCCATGTGATTGACGGATTAGAAATTTGCGTTAACAAGCAGTTGAACACCTAATATAGTAGCCGGTTAGTGTATATTTAGAAGTTCTTTAGACAAACTAAATTAGTGTTTAAAAACTATATTTCTCTTAAAAAAAGCAGTTCACCTGCAAAACATAAGATTGGTGCTTTCTTGTGAAACACAGGTAAGTGTATGTAGAAATATTTAAATGTGCTTTTAATTCATTTTATGCAAAGCCACATCCTGAGATGCAATTTCATGATTTATCAGGTGTTGAAATGGTCTGATCCTTGCGTGAAACTATAATTTCATTTTCAAAGACACTCATCTAACTGATGATGCTACGAAAATGTTATTGAACAAGTTGTAATGTATAATATAGACAATAATGTACATGATAAAATTGAAAATATCAGTTTTTACATTAATCAATTAATAAGCTACATTTAACTGATTAAACTGCTTTCAAATTTGCTCATTATTTTAATTGTAAAAAAAAAATATGCAAACTGGACAAGCTTATTTCTGAATAATAGACTTAATAATTAACAAAACAGGGTTTCTGCAAATTTTAAAAAGTCAAATCAAAGCTTTTTAAAATCGTTTTAAAACTATTATGACTTACACAAGGCTTTTTTCTAGTGGCCCTAATGTGTCAAAACAAGCAAACCCTAATTATATACATACACATTTCTTTCAACATAACTTTTTCTAAGAACAAAAAAAAAAAACCCTATAAAATGTATGAACAACACTGCCTAGGTCATGTCCTCATCATATATGATCTATAAACGCAAAACTTTATCAAACAAATTGCAAGGAAGATAATTAAACCATATTGGTTAATAAAGTTGTAGTTATATTTTTTTTAGACGGATTGATTTGATGGGTGTTTGCCCAATTGGGTATACATGGACATAGGACAATTACAACCTGTTTACAATTACTTAAAACCAAGAAGACAACATTTCAGTGCATTTAAGACTTTTTTTAAGTCCTTTGCTTTTGAAATAAAACATTTAAAAAGTTTTTAAAGATCCTGTGAGCACCCTTGTATACATAATACCACTCATAGACACTTAATCATCAGAAAAGGTGGTCAAAAGTGAACAAACAAAAAATTTAAACACCAGGTCTACCGTCATCTCCCTGGTCCACTTGTGATCAAAATCCTCCAAATCCATCACTGATTTGCACTAAAATCTATACAATTTGAGTGCGATACAACGTTCTACAGAATTAAAGTCTGTTGTTGATAATGAAATAAAGGCACATGAATAAAAGGGATTTTATTCCCACAATAAAAAAAGCCTCTCACACAACCATAAGCCATGCCTGCGATCTTTCATAATACTGGACCTCCTACAGCTGACTGTAAGCTCGAGGCCTTGCATGTGCTGTTGTTGTGAAGCGTCCTGAGAGCAGCAGGGGCTCATTATACTGTAGGCCTCATACAGAAACCCTGGCTACCCTCTAAAAGCCTTGCCCTATATGTGCATAAAATGCAACTGAATGGACTCATCCATTTTTTAAGACCAAGGCGTTAAATATTCATACCTCTTGAAATCATACACTAATCTGGCAGCGAAAGCCTCATCTAGCCATGAATATTTCCTGTGAGTGGGAGACAGACTTGCGCAAATGTGTTTACATCATACATTTGCTATGCATAAATTGAGATGGAGCGAAAAAGCAGAAAGGAGTGCACTTATATATGCTACATATGTGGAGAGATGTGCATTTTAATGCATGTAACAAAATGATTTATGCCTTACCATGTACAGGGCCCAGCATATACCAGTACACCCCTCAAAAATCATTCTTTTAAATTCATAATTTTAAAAGGAAGCTATACAATATTATATTTGTACATATACATTAGATTAGTCAATACTGAAGCCAAATCTGGAGCTTATCTAACAAAATAACCTACAATAATGGTCCAAAAACTAGTACACCCAATTAAAAAAAATAAACAAAAAAAGAGAGAAAAAACCAAGAGAAACAAAAAAAAAAAAAAGTTAAATTTAGTTGAAATTTTGTAGGTAGTAATCAGGCCCCGATTGGATGATCGGGAGGACCGGGAGAATTCCCGGTTGGCCAGTCCGTTTTTTGGCCACGAGGGATGGTGTCCCTAGCTGCATGCACTCTCGGCGGTCACACTTTTTTTATTTATGTAATTTTTATTTTTTTTACTCATTTATTTATTTTACCATAGCCTCACTATTTTTATTCATTAATTTATCACAGCTTCACTCTTTATTTATTTTCTCGCAGCCCCATGAGCAGAATGCAGCCTGCAGGTTAATGATGATGTAATTATCATTCAACTGCTCCAACAGCCTCGCTCGTCAGCAAAATCATTTGATAAAAAGATACACGAGAAATGAAAAATTTATTAAAAAAAAATTTTTTAAAAACGCAAAGGTGGTGCTGAAAAGGCCAGAACTTAAAAGGCTGAGTAGGTTTTTCGTTAAAACCAGTGGCAGCGAAAATACAACCACACAAAGGTGATGAAATGGCCGGTAAATTAACGTTAAGTTAGATAGGAGCAGTGCAAAACAATGATGTCTGCAAACCACCGTTTAGGTACCAAACTTTTTATGTAGATCTTCGGCAACAGCAGCCCCTTGTCCATTTTGCTGTTAACAGTGAAGCCCAGTAACATTACCAAGCACCAGTCATGAGCCCAACACACTAGAATGGGCAAGTAGGATTGTCATTAAGTGAATTTAAAGATTCTAATATTAATATTAATATTAACGAATATTACACCTGCTTAATAAAAACACCCTGAGACTATTAATGAAATCAGATAATTCACTAAATTAATAAATCTGACTTAATCAGAAAGCTAAAAAAGGGAAAAACATGAAGCTATCATTAAAAAAAAACACTGTGGTTAAATATGTCTGGCAGATATTCAATACTTGTTTAATTCTTTATTTGTGTTCCAGGACTGGATATCTGAAAACAATTTTGCACAGAATATAGATTCAGATATTGCAGAAAAGGACATTGTGATGTTTAAAAGAATAGTATTGGAGATTTAGCTACCCTTCAGTAAGCAGCTTTTAAGCAGCTGTTTCCTTGAAAAAGACATGACAGTGTCATTATAAAATTTTATATTTTTCCCTCAATCTTTATTTTATATATGTATATATTTGATATTTTTTTATTTTAAGGTTTGGATATTTATGGATAATTAAAATTGATTCTGATACTGTTAAACATTACATTCAAATAAATCTTCCCTCAAGTACTGAATTAGAAATGACATTATTTTAATATAGTCAGTCGTGAACTGAAGTGGGCCGGTCTAAGGCTTTAAACTCCAGGGTTGAAAAGAAGTCCCACTCTAGCCCTGTTTATAATTTATTTAGCAAAGTTTTGCTTGAATTTAATTGTGTTATCTTTCAATTTCTAAACATGTTTAGCGAGTAATATATATTTTTTAATAAATATATCTGTTTAATGAATCTGTTTTGTTTAAAAGAGTACCAACAACTTTATCCACTTCTGTAAATAAAATGTGATGTTTCTTACTTTTAAATAAAGTAATACTCTCCTTGTTATTAATGTTTGGCATGTGAGTCAAATACGAGATCTATGCATAAAAAAAACATTCAAATGTGGGTGAAAACAGCCATATTAATGTAAAAATGAAACAGCATACTTATTTTTCTCCTGTACTTTAAACTTGAAAAAGAAATGATTATTATATTTAAAATTATTCATATTTATGGTTAAAAACATCTTGCCAATTTGGCAAAACCGAGTGCTGTGAAAGATAGAGGCAAAGTATATACACTAAAAACTGATTTTTATTTTATAGCTGTACTGTGATTGTTAAACAGATTAGATACTAATATGTGTTAAAAATGACTCTTGTTCTAAACATGCCTAACAAGACCTGTTGACATATACGCTTAATACCATTTTAGTCCGTCTTCTGTAAATCAAAGTAAATGCAGACCTTTTTTTTTTCCTTTTAAAAAACGTATTTCACTACTTCTTGTTTTGATTTCTGAAAAACCCTTTTCATATTTGACCTCTGTGTGAAACGGCCAGACACATATGGAAAGGCTTTCTGTATTTATGTGATCTTATACACTACATGAGTCTGTCAGAACAGGTTACTTTGTAGTTGCCATCATCCTTTATAGTTTTTTTCATCAAACTGATCCCATTAGAGCTGTACATACATAGAAGGGCTCCTCCGTAGAGTCTGATGGAGACCCTGGTGGTGGTGAGCTCAAATATGATCTCATAGAACTGGTTGGGGAAAGCCAAAGCCTGCAACACAAACAAAGAGGTTACATAATGACTGTAACATCACTGGACCAGTAGGGAGATGCGTTTTTTTCTGCAAAAATGTATTTAAGATGACAGAGAGAGATGAAAGGCCAATCATCATAATAATAATATTAATAATAACAATAATGGGTGACACAGAGGCGCAGTAGGTTCTGCTGTCACCTCACAGCAGGAAGGTCGCTGGTTCGAACCTCGGCTGGGTCAGTTGGCGTTTGTGTGGAGTTTGCATGTTCTACCTGCATTCGCGTGGGTTTTCTTGGGGTGCTCCGGTTTCCCTAACAATCTAAAGGCCCGTGCACACAGAGACGTTTTTTGCTCACATTTTCTGTCGAGGTTTAACACCTTTTGACTAAATAAAGGGCGTCAATGGGATCGTGCACACCAACGCGCAAAACGGCAGGCGCAAAAGTGTCATTTAAAAAAAAAAAACACACCTCATGCTCGTTTTTTGTTTTGACGCACCGCGTCAAAACCTTCTCCACCAATCAGATCAGCACTTTTGTTCACGTGCACGGAGCTGCTGGAGTTACAGTAAACAGCACTTGGAGGCGCTCAAGCACAAAACTGTCAATGCGAGCGCACATTGAAGATGCCCAGAGGCGATATGAACGTTTAGCTGCTTATTGCTCTTGTGAACAATAGTCATTTCTTCATCGCTAGACCTGGAGCTGCTGCTTGAACCATCCATGCTTGTTCATGTCACCTGTAACTTTAACAACAAGCATTGATATGAACAAGCGTGTGAACTTCCTCTCCTCCTCTTCTTGTGTTATAAGCGGATGTCAGAAGCTTAAAGATGTGTAGCTCCATCTAATGTTAAGGAGTGATTTTGCATCCTCTTCTGCTTGACGCCAGTGAACTTTGCTTGGATTAAAATACGGAAAAACAACTTGTAAAACGATGAGCATAAATGCAAACGAAAAGCGTCCCGGTGTGCATGAGCCTTAAGGCTTAACTAGATGAATTGTGTAATAAGTCAAGTTGCAACAGAGGTGAGGATCCAAATATAGTTTATCAAGAGAATCATCAATCAGGAAAAGATCAAAACAAGGACAGGAGCATGCAGATAATCCAAAGGTGTAGTCAGAGTACAGGAGGGGCAGGCGGCAAAACAACATAAACAGTAAAACAAAGCAAAGGTCAAAACATGACAAGGCAAGACAGGGGAAAAAAAAAAGACTCAGCAAAGAGTGTGTGTGCGTGAATGTGGTGTCTTTATAGTCCAAGTAATCAGTCCATTATGAGCTCCCAGCTGTGTGTGTATTTCATTTAGTGGCAGATATGTAGTTCTCTGATTGTGCCAAATAAGGCAATTCATTGAATAAAACTGGTTTGTTCAGAAGCCAATCAAAAAAATAAAAATAAAAAGTACCGGGCTATTAATATGGACCATAGAAGTTTTCACTTTAAAAAAAATATATATTTCTTTATTCCAGTCAAAAAAAATTACCCACAAGAAAAATTAAATCTGAAATAATGTGAAAAAAATCCTTGCTCACTTAAACATCGCTTGGGAAGTATTTAAAAAAGAATTACATTTTTTACAGGAGGGTATGGCTGCTCGATTACAAGAAAAATCATAATCACAATTATTTTGGTAATAATTGCTGTCATGATTATTCAAAATGATATACAGTTGAAGTCAAACTTTTTTGCACTCCTGTGAATTTTTTTTTATAAATATTTCCCAAATTATGTTTAACAAAGCAATATTTTTTTTTTGCAGTATTTCCTATATTTTTTTCTTCCTGAGAAAGTCTTTGTTTTATTTTGGCTAGAATAAAAGCAGGTTTAAATATTTTGAAATCTATTTTAAGATCAATATTATTAGCCCCCGTAAACAATACATTTTTTTAAAGGCTGCAGAAGAAACAATGGTTATACAATGACTTGTCTAATTAATTAAACCTTTAAATTGCACTTTAAGTTTAGATACAGGTTGGGAAAAAAAATTCCGTTTTGGGGGGAAAGGGTTGCTAATAATTCAGGTGGTCTAATAATTCTGACACAACTGTAGTTATTTTCCTCCCTGTAAATAAGAAAAGGGAAATAAATACAATAGAATAAAATATGAAACAAACTGTGTTTTAAGCATCTTCACTGTAAGAAAAAACTTCAATTATTGCTACAGTCCTTCAGTCAAGAGCAGTTAGTGATTTGCTCCTTTTGTTGTTTGATTAATAAAGATAACAGTCAGCAACAGGAATATTGCGCGCTGTCACTTTAAGAGCAGTGCCGTTTTGATTTATGGTTTCACTTTCACATGTCTTTTGATTCTCAACTCGTTTATTACATAAATGAGAGTTAATATGAATAATCACTAAACACCGCATTTTAACACAAATTTGCATGTATTTGACCATTAAAGCGCTCACATTAAGATGATTTTAGATGTGTTTAGATGTGTCTGCTCGTCTCTGAGGCTAAGCGCGCACACACAACAGCATGCAATCTCTTTCACGCTTTTAAAAATATGAATGATTGGGATGTACATTAATGAATGATGCGTATCCCATGCTGCAAAAGTTACATTACAATGCTTTTAGTAAGGTTCACATGAAAATGAGCTTTGCAGAGCAACAAATGTGTACAATTGGAAAGGGGGCAGTATATGATGCAATAATTGTTTTATCTTAATTAATGTTTTTCATAATCTTTAGAAGCCAAAATCAAAATTTGAAACTTTACTTTCGATTAATTGCACAGCCCAACAGGAGGGCTAATAATTCCATCTTCAACGGTACATTGTTTGTAATATTCAAATAGACACTACTGTAACTCTTTCAAAGAAAAAATACACCCATACTAAAAACAAGTATTCATTTCTTTACAAATCTTACTTGTCAAAGCTTTTGAAAAGCATTAAAATAATTTAACTGAACGCAAACGAGCCTTGGTTTATTTTGGATCATGAACTGTTAGATGAAAGCCAGAGCACCAGGCATTGGAAGTAAACTGCTTACCATTAAGGATGTTGATGTGAACAGCACAGCAGAGACGAGAAGCCAAAGCCTGCGAGAGAATGAAAGACACCACAGATCAAACTAACAGGCCTCTAATAAGACACAAATGAGCCACGACCAAAAGAGTCAAGGTTTGGCAAAAATAAACAGCAAGGAACATTGGAGCAATTAAATTAGTCGAGTGTCTGATGTCACACGCAAAAGACAGACGCAGGCTTGAATTCACTGGTGTGATTTGACGAAAAAGTCTTACCGAAGGCCAATGGGCTCACGAACAGCAAACTTTATCTCATTGCCCAACATCTGGCTGATCTGCAAAAGGACAGAATTGCTTATATATTTTTGTTTTCCTTTAAAGAAACAAATGCATATAAAGGAAAAAAGGAAAGCAAAAAATCTTTGAATATAGTTTCAGTCTAAACAAATCAAGTTAAACCCATTTAAAGAATTTATTATTATTATTATTATTATTATTTACTAATTGGAAGAAAGGAATGGGCAAAAATACTGTTTAATATTTGAAACAACATATTCTTATGCTTACCGTTTAACCTATCCAAGTTAATATATTCCCTAAATATATAGAGATTCATAAGTAAAAACAATGTCTACTTTAAAACAGCTTCTAAATTCATTATAATCTCTTGCCAATATAGGGTTAGTTTCTGACACACTCAAAAAATATGATAGGGGCTACTTTTTACCCACACAATCTCCAGCTTCCATTGGTGTCCTTTCTGTGATGGTGTGTTAAAAATAACCTAATATCATTCTTCCAAAAAGAATTCTCTCCACATCGCTGAGCTAGTAGATTTACAGTGTTTTGCAAATCTTTCCCAAATCCTTATATGACATTCAAATTTCCTTCCATTTTCCATTTGTCTCGAACATGTAAAGTGTTTTCAGCTACAGTCAGGAGAAATCATTATATCATTTATTTATTATAAACATAATTGTGCCTTACAAACACTGCAATTACTTTATTTTAAATTCTTTGGATTCAATATTACGATAAATATATTGCCTATACAGTTGAAGTCAAAATTATTAGCCCCCTTTTGATTTTTATTTTCTCTTTTAAATATTTCACAAATGATTTTTAACAGAGCAATGAAATTTTCACAGTATGTCTGATAATATTTTTTTCTTCTGGAGAAAGTCTTATTTGTTTTATTTCGGCTAGAATAAAAGCAGTTGTTAATTTAAAAAAAAAAACTTTTTGGGACAAAATTATTAGCCCCTTTAAGCAAATTTTTTTTCTGATAATGTACAGAACGAACCACTGTTATACAATAAATTGCCTAATTACCCTAACCTGCCTAACTCACCTAATTAACCTAGATAAACCTTTAAATGTCACTTTAAGCTGTATAGAAGTGTCTTGAAAAATATCTAGTAAAATATTATTTACTGTCATCACGGCAAAGATAAAATAAATCAGTTATTAGAAATAAGTTTTTAAAACTATTATGTTTAGAAATGTGCTGAAACAATCTTCCCAGAACAGAACAGAAATTGGGGAAAAAATAAACAGGGGTGCTAATAACTCAGGGGGGCTAATAATTCTGACTTCAACTGTATATAATACTGGCCCATATTTTCACCTTAGCAATTCAAAGCTTTGAATTTTACCTTTAAAGGTAAAAAAAATGTGTAATAATTTGAGATTCCCAGCTTAGTCCAGATTCAGAATCACTCATCTATTGTGTTTGGGATAAAATTAGTAACAAAGCACAACATCTTAAGGCCAGGACACACCAAGCTGATGTCAAAGTACTAGCTGTAATGAAAACAGACTGTGTTGTTGCCTCTTGTCGGCTGGGCCTGGTCCCATCTGGACCAAAAAAGAACTGTATGTGAAAAACAGATCAAACAGATGGCAGATGTTTGAAATGAGAATGTGTAAATTGTGCCTGCGTGAGAAGATGCATCTTTCCACACTTGCAGGTGGCAGTATCTGTATAGTAAACAAGAACTATTGCTGGACACATACACGCCAAATAATTTATTATTATTTTTTTTAAATCAGTGTTTACGTCACTGAACTTCTCGCTCACAGGAGGCATACACTCATCCAAATATGTCTGATAATCCATAAAGTTAAAGAAATGTAACAAAATGGCATCCAACGTCTTAGTGTTCCCTATTGAATTGCATTGTTTGCTTAGTTTCGTTTTAGTTATTGATTGGTTAGTGCTGTGACAGATTGGTAAAAGTGCATTGTTGCTTATTATCTTATTTGTAATTGAGCAGCCAATCAGAGCATTCTCTTTCACAGATGACAAGCCCTACAAACCACCCATTATCTGTGATGCCAAATTTAAGACAATAATTTTATTACTCAGACAATACATTTTTCTCACTAGTTATGAACTAACAATAACATATGTTCACATGTTATTAATATTATTATTATTATTATGTATGTCTGTTCAAACTAAACATGCACCTAAAACCCAGTGTCCACTTTCACTCCGCTTCAAATAGCGTGTACAGAATTCATTTGGGAAACAGCATCACTATAGCATTATGGAGCGCGTCTGACAGTCCCGCACCACTACATGAACTGACTGTTTTGAGAGTTGCATGGAAGGAGCAACAATGTCTGTAATGCAAAGGAAGGAAATCCGGCCCTATTTATAACTATTTCAAAGTGTTTTCATGCCTAAATAAAATGAAAGCAAAGAACAGATTCACATTTAAGAGCAAGGAGCGTCCCCTGGTGGTTTGGAGGTATAGGTTGCATATAGGGAGGATCGGCCCTTTAATGTTTATTGCGACCCTTCGCAGAAAGATTGAAAAAAATTTTTTTGAAGAATTATGGGAAAATACCTTTTTGGGATGATAGCGGGATAGAATTGGAAAATATGGGAGAATCCTGGAAAAAAACAGTAGGGTTGACAGGTATATTTGTTGGATTACTTTTTTAAAATTAAAACAGAAGACCTCTAGTGTTAAATGTCTGCAGTAAAATATAAGGGGTAAAAGTGCCAGGATTATTCTATTTGTATGAAATCCAGGTGTTAAAAAAGCGCATATATATCCCATCCTCTTTTTGATTTATTTCAAATCCTTCCCTCAGGATCTCGGTATAGGGTCCCTTTAAAGCACCCACAGATTTAAATTGTAATTTGTTCTTTGTGCGATTGGGCTTGCTGAATTTTAATGGTAAGAGATTGCCACTGTTTTTAGTACAATAAATGTTGTTTTATGTTTTGTGTCTTAAGTGTGTGGTGCGATACGTGTAAATCTATCACTCTGCAGAACAAATCGCCCCAAAAGAGGACAATAAAGTTTACAGTAACAGTAAATTGATCCATGGGTTTGTTTCTCTAATAATTCTACTATATTTCTTAGTTTGCTAAGATAATGGAGAATTTCCATCATCCCTGTGTTTCGATTTAAATCGATCTTGCTGAATACACTGAACTACTCACAAAAAGACTTTATCAGTACTGGCCTGTTGGTAAAAACTGAATTATTAAGCCAACTTTACAGCAACCTTTTATAAACGGAGCAAGGTGGTGCACTAAAGGTTTGTTCAATTTAGGAAAACAGCTCACACAGAGGGATTATCAGATTTGCTGACAGCACACGCCTGCCAAGATCGAATGGTCCATGCAGTCCTATTTTGTGAAATTGAAAACCGTGTTGTAGCATCTGGAGGGAATGATAGGAAAGTTTGAGGTTTGTTTTGATTTAATAGGTCTATTTTGACAGCAGGCTGGGTGGTTTCACAATGAGGGCTTTGTGTTTGTGTGGGCCACAGGGGAGCACAGGCGCTTCAGACAGAACCAGACCCAGACTGATAAGAATGTGGAAGGTGGTACAATATAATGCTTTCTTTGGGCAGCTGAGCTCCCGTCATTTCATAAGTGACATGGACTGTTGCAAGAGAAAACTCTGTTTAGAAGAGGTCTATATAAAGCTCAAACAGCCCCGGTCAGTATTTTATAGCACAATGCTGAAATACCAAACTAATAAGCATGTGAATCTGATCTAAATAAGTAGGCCACATTATGAATGCTACATTATATAAAGGACATTTATATACACATATACAGTGGTTGGACAATGGAATTGAAATACTGGCCAATTTAGTGTTGGATGATTCATGGCTAAATTTGACCAGCCTGGTGGCCAATCTTTATTGACTGACATTCCAGCAGTAAGAGCAAAGTGTGAAGGTTTAATTAGCAGAGCAATAGCACAGTTTTACTTTTAAAAAAATTGCAATGCACACAACTTTATGGCACATCTTTGTTCAAGACATCAAGTCATTGTGATGTACAGTATCAGGAGCCATAGTATCAAGGGTAATGTCAGCATCATACCACCAAGAAGGACAAACCACATCCAACAGGAGTAACTGTAGATGCAAGAGGAGGCTGTGCGAAATGGATGTCTGAGTGCTAACCCAGATTGTATCCAAAAAAAAACATAAAACCACAGCAGCCCAGTTCACTTCAGAATTAAATTCAACTCTCCTTTTTCCACCAAAACTACTCATCAGGAGCTCCATAGGGTCAACAATACATGGCCGGGCTGTTATAGCCAAACAATTAATCACTCGTGTCAATGTCAAACATCATTCTTGATGGTGCCAGCAGCAAAACTCTTGGCTGTGGACAATCTGAAACATGTATTGTTCTCTCATGAGGCCACCTTCACTGTCTTTCTGACATCTGGTTACGGTGTGGAGAAGCCCCAAAGAAGTGCATCACCCAGACTGTTGCATGACCAGAGTAAAACATGAAGGTGGATAAGTAATGTTGGGGCGGCAATATCATGGCATTCCCTAGGCTCAATATTTGTGCTAGATGAGCCAAGGACTACCTAACCATTCTGGAGAACCATGTGCAGACAATGGTTCAAACATTGTATCCTGAAGGCGGTGCAGTGTATCAGGATAACAATGCACCAATACACACAACAAGACTGGTGACAGAGTCATTTGATGAACATGAAAGTAAAGTTGATCATCTTCCATGGCCTGCACACCAGATATAAATATTATTGAGCCCCTTTGGGGTGTTTTGGAGGAGCGAGTCAGGAAACGTTTTCCTCCACCAGCATCACATAGTGACCAGACCATTTTTCTGCAAGAATAATGGCTCAAAAATCCATCGGGCCACTGTACAGGACTTGTATCTGTCATTCCCAAGAATAGCTGATGCTGTGTTGGGTGCAAAAGGAGACCCCACACCATACTAATGAATTATTGTGGTATAAAACCAGGCATTTCAGTTCCATTGTTAAACCCCTACATACAGTATACAAGCATATATAGGCTGCTTTTATTTACTTAAAAATACAGCAACAATTGTAAAATTGTGCAACGTTATTGCAATATAAAACAACTGTTATCTTGTGATTCAAATCTGAATTTTCAGCATGATTATTTCAGTTTTTCCTGTCACATGATACATTAGAAGTATTTTCAAATGAATTACTATTCATTATTTAAAAATGTATAATATTAATATAAATAATAGAAGTACTAGTTGTAGCAGTTGTTACTGTAGAAGTAGTATCTGCTAGCTGCTTCATATTTTTGAATCTTCATAGAGAAAACCTTAAATTGTTCAAGAGTGAAAGTAAAAAAAATGTCACAGAAATATAGCAAATAAACATCATTATTTAGAAAAAAAGCCAAAGAATCCTTAAAAGAAAATGTATTGCAGTTTCCACAATACAAAGCAGGAAAGGTTTTGTCCAATAGTTGTAAGAATCATTAATGATTATTTATGATAAGAGCTGCAAATCACCATATAAAATTATTTCTGATGGATCACGTCACACTGAAAACTTTGAATAAATAAATATATTTTGTAAACGTTTTTTTTTTTACTTGTACTTATTTTAGGGAGTCATTACTCTAGTCCTCACTATCACACAATCTAAATAGAAATCAATTTAATATGCAATTTCTTAAATCAAACTCAACCATGTCTTACTATGATCAAAGTTAAAAGTAACTGAGCTGCTCATTATATTTGGAAATAGTACATTTTCTCTGATGCTTTGATGCACAAGACAGCAACAGTTCAAAACAGAAATCTTTTCATAATCATAATTTATCAGTTTAATGCATACTTACTGAATCAAAGTATTAATTAAAAAATCTATTTTTAATCTAACTATTCAAAGTCATTGAAGGTAATCTACATTTAATCTACATTTTTGAAGACAAAAGGCAACAGGTGGTGAAGATAAGAAGGTTAACAGACCTTTCGCTAAGTCCGGCCTTAAAAACTGAACAATCCTCCCCAGACAACGGCTGCCATCTGCCAAATTTCCAAACAAACTTTTGCTCTTGTCTACAATAAATTCTGTGTATCTGTTCAGTTAGCAGCAGATGCTCCATAGAGAAAGCCTACTATTAAAAAAAGCCTACCAGACCAAATAATAATAACTGAAGTCAAGGCTAACCATATATCAAATCTGAAAAAGGAAACTACACACTAGCAATGTACATTTACATGTTTTTTAATCACAGAAAAGGACTTTTCGACCACTTTGATGTGCTTTCAGAATAATTAGCACCATTAAACTACTTCACTCCTTTCCATTTCATCTCAACACATATGTGGCTTCCAGGACTGAAATAAAATCTGCACACATTTATGCCCATTAAACATGCAGGCTCTCTCTTTCTTCCTCATCACTAAAAGAGAGATCCGTCCATCATGCTCTACCCTGCGCACTAAAAGCCCGCACAGCGTGGGCCATTTAATGCTGATGAAAACTTCTGATGGAAAGATGAGGTGCTCAAATCATGGCTAAAGGTCATTTTAGACGAGAATCAAGAAAGTATTTGTTAAAAAGTGACTGCCATGTGAAATGTGTGTCATTGTTCCACATTTATTTGAGATTTTTATGCATTTGGTTGCTGTAGGCCCCTTTTATGAAAAAATAAAGTGTGCTTCTGCATGTGTTTTGTATTTGGATGTGTGTCAACAGTGACGGTTTTAGCCTCTAATGAGAGCATATAAACGGCCTACAGTAAAACTGATGTCATAGAGCAGATGCTGACATCAGGCGCTTCTGTTTTGGAAAGGTTTTATTCCATGAGTTTAACTTGCATTGTCTTCCATCTGTTCCTTCGATACATAACCAAATACATTTCTGTAAGCGTCGGTCCATAAGCGAAGGCAACTGTTATTTTGTTTGTTTGTTTGGCTGGCTGGTTTTACAAGCAGGTTGCTGTTACCATCACTATTACATATTTATTCATATTATAATACAAAATAGCTAACTGTGAGGCTTTACTCTTAAAAAAATCATTATAAGTGCGTCTAAAATATTATTCTGACAATATTTGATTTGATTTCTACTTATTATAGGACTGTATTTAAAAATATATTTACTTTCTTCATTTAATCAGATTTTTAATATTCATCTTAATTTAATTTGGTGTGTTTTAATGTCATTTTAATTACAGGGTGTCCGCGGGGTCATAAAAAATCTTAAATTTCAAAAACTAAATTTTAGGCCTTAAAAAAAATCCTAAATTCACTAAAATATACTCTTGTAGGTCTTAAATTCTTTTAAACAGGTCTTAATTCTCCATTGTTTATGTAAAACTATCGATCCAACACACATGCATGCATTTTATTATTTAACTCGTTATTTTATTATAATTTTTATAAATACAAATATATAATAATATTTTTCAATAAAGATCCAATGGGTCATGGATTACTCACAGGAGAAAAAGAGATCACAAATATATAATTATGTTCAGAAAGCATGTCAGACTGAGACACAAGAGCATGTCCTGAGAGCAGCAGTCAATCAACACATTGCTCAGGCTGTTTCTGGGGGATTTTACACCTCTCCACCACTGCTGGGAACAGAGAGAGCTCTGTAAATGGCAGAAGCTGCATTACATCCAACCACACGACCGCAGAAGCCAAGGTGATGATTGATTTGTGTAAAGAAGATTATGAAGGTGATCGATATAACTTCAATAAATATAATGTGTGCAATCCTTAAAGTAATAATATTTGTATAAATTATATTATGTACAAAATTAGTTGGTAAAATTAGTTAAAATAAATATGTATAAAAACATTTTAGAATTATATTTTATGGGGTTCGCCTTTATTTGATAGGACAGTAGAGATGGAGTCAGAAATATATGGGGAGCAGAGAGAGAGAAGGGAAGGATTGGGATCTCGAGCTGGGAATCCAACTCACGTTGCTGTGAGCCGGGTTGCTATATATTGGCGACTTAACCACTAGACTATTAAACTAATAATATCAATTTTATGCGTGCAAAATGTTTTTTAAAAGTATTAAGAATTATTATTTTTTTATTATTATCATTAATAATACCCTTCATACCTTTCATTATTATTATTATTATTATAACAAAATATTAATAACAATAACATTAGCCATTATTTTATACATCAAGTACAATTTTAGTATTATTTAAAATTATATAAATCAAATCAAATTTAATTAACCTCAAAAATTTATAACAATCATTTTATCAGTTTTAAAAATATTAGAATACATATATTAAGCACAATTATTATTATTAGTGTTACTACTACTACTAATAATAATAATAATAATATTACTATCATCATCATTATAATCAATATTATTATCATCAGTATTATTATTTTAAATAATACTTGAAATTATTATTACAGATTTCATAAAAAAAAAAAAATAATAAACAACAACAAAAATAATAATAATAATAAATAAACTTTTTTAATGATTAAACCCAAATTAAATTTACACAGGGAAAGACCCAGATCTGGCAATGTGGTACCGGAGTAGGTAGTGCTGTCACCTTACAGCAAGATGGTTGCTGGTTCGAGCCTCGGCTGGGTCAGTTGGCATTTCTGTGTGGAGTTTGCATGTTCTCCCTGCTTTTGCGTGGGCTTCCTACGGATGGTCCAGTTTCCCCCACAAGTCCAAAGACAAGCGCTATAGGTGAACTGGGTAGGCTAAATCGGCCGTAGTGTATGTGTGTGAATGAGAGTGTATGGGTGTTCCCACTGATGGGTTGGAGCTGGAAGGGCATCCGCTGCGTAAAACATATGCTGAATAAGTTAGCGGTTCATTCCGCTGTGGCGACCCCAGATTATTAAAGGGAGTAAGCCGAAAAGAAAATGAATGAATGATTGAATAAATGAATGAATGAATAAATGAAGACCTAGATCTACTTAGCTTTTTTGATTGACTAATACAGCACATCTTGTAAAAGCTGGTGTGGAGCTGGATTCATGCATAACATCTCCAGCCATTATGATGAAACATAGGCTGATGGCCGACTGCCCCTTAATGGATGTTTACTTTGATCTTCCTCTGCAACCCTACCCGGGGCTTGATGCACATGACAGGGCCACGGAGGGCGGATGAGTGCCACCCGCGTTTCATGTGGACTCCCCTTAAAGCCTTGTGAGTTTCAATAGCGCTGAACTAGAAATGGCCAGACCTGCCAGTAATCTCTTATTCAATACATTTACATGGTCATAAATATTCTATTTAATTGCTTTTCTGAAAAAGGCAATGTTATGATTGTTAAGGTGTTAACATGGGTTGCTTTTTGTATATTAACCTAAATTGTTTTTAGAAAAATAAAGATGTAACATTTTTATTATAGCAAAACATGTAATTAAGATCAATAAAATTAATACCAATTATTATTTTTTTATCAATATTATTATTATTATTATTATACAATATATTCTTCATCCATTATGTAATAATAATTAAATTTAAACAGATGTAATTATTCATTATTTAGCAAAAGCATTAATTTAATACAAATAATAATACTAAATATTAGTATTACTACCTAATTATTATTATAAAATATATAAATATATTTATCTTTTTTTTAGTAATTCAAATAGATGTAATTAATTCAGTATCTAGCAAAAACATTTACTTAATTTAAACAATAATAATACAAATTATTATTATTATAATTACTGTTATTGTTGTTGTTATTTCATTTAAAAGGATGTAATTAATTCATTATTTAGCAAAAACATTTAATAGAAATATTAATAATACCAATTATTATTATTACTACTATTATTATTATTACTATTATTATATTGATTATTATTATCATTAGATGTATATATTATTTATATATTATGTAATAATAATTAAATTTAAATAAGTGTAATAAATTCATTATTTAAGCAAGCAAAGCTTTGGCAACATCAAAAAGCCTCCAATCTGGGTAAAAAAAAAGACCTCCCAGAGATCTCAAATAAGTCGTGTTATCTTACCTTTGACCTGTGCACCTCTCCATCATCGTCCTCTCCTCCGACACCCAGGACCTTGCGGGACTTGAGGCGACTCACCAGGTCTGTCTGACTGTGCTTCTTCATGAGGGGTGGAGGTGTGGAGGCCATGATAGAGGAGTAAAGCGGCACTTCTAGAGCTGTCAAGGAGACTGAAGAAACAATAACACATCAACAACCATAACACAATGACAACACTTCACTCTCTCTGAGTCTAGTGTTCCATTTATGGAGAAAAAATTAACATGCACATCAGGGAATATACAGGGCTTGTCAGATTTCATAGCAGAACTGCACAATACTGGAAAAATATGCAATATTATTGTATCGCTTGTCTCTACTCCTGTCATTATTTTCAACTCTATGCTCTGAGAAACTAGGGTTCATCTTTGGGCTGGTCTATAGATGATAACATACACTGTAGAAAATATTGGTTCCACACTATTCCTTCATGTTGTCTCAACGCAAATAGGTTAAAGTAATGGTTTAAACAAATTTAAGTGGATTAAACATAAAACATTTAAGTTGTCCCTAAAAATCTTCAAGAATAGTGTTGTTTCAGTTAATTTTAGGTAGTTTGAACGAGCAGCAAAAATTATTTTAGTCTAACATCACCTACTTTAAAGGAAGATATGAAGATATTAAAGCCTCATTAACTCAATATACTAATATAATTACAACAATACATTTTTGATATACCTTGATATTTCATAGCATGTCATTCTGTCAGATTTCAACATTGAAATTTGATCAATGTTAAAACAGTCATGCAACTTTTTGTAAAATGTACAAAAATGTAAAATAACAGAATTGTTTTCAAGTAAAAAACATTATAAATGTCATTCCAGTCCATTCAAAGCATCCTGGATAAAATTATCATCTTTATTTAACACATTTTACTATGTTTAAATAACAAAATCAACATAAAAATACAAAAACAATTAATTTCTTATGTTGTTTTGAAATTTAAGCAGACATGGAATAAATTACAACAGAGCAAAATTACATAATGGTCAAACAATATGCATAGAATGTAGTGATGCACAATATATCAGCTGCCATATCTGTATTGGCCAATTAAAGCTAATGCCATTTCAGACCAATAAGAAAATAGTAAGCAAAGTGAAATGCACTGTGTATCGACATAAGACATGCTGTCCATTCAAAGGCTAGTGATCACCCCTATCAATTGGTGAAAGTGCCCAAGGGAGATACTAATGATGGAACTGGACTTCGAAGCAGTGGAAGAAGGTCATCTGGTCCAATGGGTCGCATTTTCTTTTACATTATGTGGACAAATTTCAAATGGGATGTTAAGTAAATGGTGAATTCCACATAACATTCAAAGCAAGATTTGTATCATAGAAAACACATAATTAGAAAACCTTTTGGCCAATAATATATTATCAGATTAAATGTATAATTTGAATAAAAATAATTCATTAAATAAAAAGACTATTAGAAAAAAAATTAGTTGTACCAACTCAATTGTTTTCATTGCGCATACCTGTCAACATTGGGAGGTGTCCCTTTAAAACTGCACAGATCTATAATGAAAGCATTCGACTTTTGACAGCTTTCTTAACTTTTTATGCTCATTTAAGACAAAATGTGTTGTGTAAAAAAAAAAAACCCAGCAAGATTGACACGTTTAAATGTTTATTATCAATATATAGCTATTAATATACAGGGTGGGCCATTTATATGGATACACCTTAACAAAATGGGAATGGTTGGTGATATTTACGTCCTGTTTGTGGCACATTAGTATATGTGAGGGGACAAACTTTTTAAGATGGGTGGTGACCATGGTGGCCATTATGAAGTAGTCCACCTTGGATCCAACTTTTCTTTTTTCAAAAGGAAGAAGGTCATTTGACACAAACTTATTGGGAATTTCACAAGAAAAACAATGCTGTGCTTTAACGGTTTTAACGTAACTTTATTCATTCATGAGTTATTTACACGTTTCTGACCCCTTATAAAAATGTGTTCAATTTGCTGCCCATTATGTTGGATTGTCCATGCAACCCTCTTCTCCTACTCTTCACACACTGATAGCAACACCGCAGGAGAAATGCCAGCACAGGCTTCCAGTATCCGTATATTCAGGTGCTGCACAACTTGTAATAACTAAAAATTTTAAGTCCCAATTACAAAAACAGCCAGCAATGACCTTGCTATACATGCACGTAAAGCTTCAGTGTCGATAAATTAGACTGTACCTGCTGACATGTCTCATTGCACAGAACATTTCATCAATAAGGATGAAAGACAGCAGTTTTATGCAGAACCGAAGGGAACAGGACGTGTTCCTCTGATATCTTGTACTGACTCCTTATTGAACAACCCCAAAGCCTGTTTAATCTAATTGATTAGCTTGGTGTTAATGAATAGAGCCTGATTCATGACAGCAGCTGCCTCATGTTGATCTCAGCTCTTCAGCCCTAGATCTAATGAGAACAGAAAGCTCAAACTGAGGCTGCTTAACTTATTGTGAGACACAAGACGCCGCTTAATGCTAAAAGACTGACTGGTGTTGTTGAAAAAACTTATGTTGTACTCTCTAATCCATTAGTCGACTCACTCCCATTAGACAACTCAGGCAGATAATAAAAAAGAGAGAGGAAAAACTAGAGCCGCCTGCCAAAATGGACCACAAATTTCCTTTATTGACGAATTAAACCAACAGCTGTCAGTGATAAATAAAGCGAAATGCTGAAATCTGAAAAGTGTATTAATGCTTTTCTAAATGCTATTAAAGCAGTCACTGAGGAGATATAATCCCTATAAAATCCACTGACATCATGAAAGGCAAATAGGCTTTTGGCTTATTTATACTTTAACTTAAACGGCTCTAGTAAAAGTGTGTTTTGGTTATTCATAATGAATTACAACCAAGCAATGTTTCAGAACAGCATGCTATATACTGTACCACAGAACACAGTGACGAAAAAAATTTCAGGTATTCTTCATAAACCCTGAAATATCAAATCATGCAACCATTTTAATTATTCATGCCACGGTGCAGGCTGGGTAGAATGTGAATGTGGCTCAATAATAAAAGCATTTTACAATATACACTCACCGGCCATTTTATTAGGTACACCTGTCTAACTGCTAGTTAACACAAATGTCTAATCAGTCAATCACATGACAGCAACTCAATGCATTTAGACATGGTCAAGACGATCTGCTGCAGTTCAAACCGAGCATCAGAATGGGGAAGAAAGGTGATTTAAGTTACTTTAAACGTGGCATGGTTGTTGGTGCGAGATGAGTTGGTCTGAGTATTTCAGAAACTGCTAATCTACTGGGACTTTCACACACAAACCAACTCTAGGGTTTACAGAGAATGGTCTGAAAAAGAGAAAACATCCAGTGAGCGGCAGTTCTGTTTGTGCAAATGCCTTGTTGAAGCCAGTGGGTGAGAGAAGAATGGCCAGACTGGTTTGAGCTGATAGAAAGGCAACAGTAACTCAAAACACCAGTTGATACAACCGAGGTATGCAGAAGAGCATCTCAAAATGCACAACCAGTGATGGAAAGAGTACTAAAAAAATCATTCTCAAGTAAAAGTACCATCACTTGTCTAAAAATGTAGTGTAAATAGAGTAAAAGTATCTGTTGTAAATATTACCAAAGTACGAGTAAAAAGTAACCCTTTTAAAAGTAGTCAATAGTGAGTAATGAGTATTACACTGTAAAAAGCTGATGCATTTACATGCCATTTGTGGATGTGTGTAAACGTAACATTCTGTAGTACATTTAGGTATTGCTCAGCAGCACACAATGTCATAAGACGTTAATATTAGGTTAGATCTTTGGTTTATTTTAGGTAGTGTTAGCAAGTGACCAAATCAACCTCAAGCCAACATCTTAAACCAACGTCATATTAACGTCAAATAAAGACATTTATTAGGCAGGTATGACAATCAAAATCCAACATCTGATAGATGTCATAGTGGTAATATCCACAGAATGTCAAGCTGTAACATCATTAGACGTTGATATTTGGTTGATTTTAGGTTTGACGTTGGACACTGACATCAACATGATTTTCATTTCCAATGAGAATGCAATGTCCCCACAAAATTGGGGTACAACATCAATCTGACGTCATGTGATGCCTGCTGAGTGTTTAAGGGTATTTCTGTCATCATACAGAAAACATCTTTCATCTTCTCATCAGTGACATGCAGTTTAAACGGTCTCTGGGTCAATGCATGTAAAGATTTTGCACATTGTCTTGGACACTTTTAATGCTTTCAAACTTTTCTGCAATTATAAATCGCCCATGTCTTGAGATAGTTCATTATGATGTGATTTACTAGAATCACAGGACTGATTTTTGTAATCCCCATAAACAAGAAAAAATAAAGTAGTAAGTGCAGATTGAAGGAAAGTAGAAGTGATAGTACCAATATTGCACTAAAAATGTACTTAAGAGAAAGTAAAAGTACACAAAGTAAATTATAATTTCTGAGAAAAACTACATACAGTAACTTGAGCATTTGTAATTTGTTACTTTACAAAACAGCGTATAACACATCCAACATTGAGGCAGATGAGCTACTCCTGTCAACTAAGAACAAGAAACTGAACCAAAAAATAAAACAAACATTCGCACAGGCCCACTAAAATTGGACAATAGAATATTGGAAAAATGTTGCCTGGTCTGATGAATCTCAATTTCTGCTGCAACATTCGGATGGTAGGGTCAGAATTAGTCGTCAGTTCATGCTGGTGGTGGTGTAATGGTAAGGGGCATATTTTCTTGGCAGACTTTGGGCCCATTAGTACCAATTGAACATCATGTCAACACCACAGCCTACCTAAGTATTGTTGCTGACCATGTTCTTCCCTTTATGACCACAGTGTACCTTCTTCTGACGGCTACTTCCAGCAAAATAACGTGCCATGTCAACGTGCAAATTATCTCAGACTGATTTCTTGAGCATGACAATGAGTTCACTGTACTTAAATGGCCTCCACAGTCACCATTTCTCAATCCAATAGAACACCTTTGGGATGTTATGGAACGGAAGATTCGCAGTATGGATGTGCAGCCAACAAACATGCAGCAACTGCATTATGCTTTCATGTCGATATGGACTAAATTCTCAGGAAAATTTTTTAGTACCTTGTTGAA